CCCCCCCCCCTGTATATACATTGGCTGAAAACGGGAAAGATTTTGTGAGATAAATCGAGAACTGACGAGAATTGAGAGGTTTAGAGACAGAACTCCGCTAAGGAGATTTGCATGGCTTTGTATTTAAAGAGGTGTACTTTAAAAATGCGGTTCGAAAATGTGTGGATCGTTGGTCGCATCTGAACCAGTTTCGTGGATTGTATTCGAAATTTTTATTAAGAACAATCTTGGCATTTTGTTTTGTAGATCATATTCGAAATTTTTATTAAGAAAAATCGTGGCATTTTGTTTTGTAGATCGTATTCGAAATTTTTTTGAAGAAAATACCATTTTGTTTTAACAACGTATAGAAATATGATTAATGGATACAGTTTCTGTGTCTTTTAAATTGTTCTATCTATATTAATGTGAGCAAATTATATACATTTTATCCATCTAAACTGATTTAGTCATTTTGTTAATATGTTGTACGTCCGAAATAATGAAATCAGTTTATACAACATGTGTCCATATTAATCTTTTTTTTTATCGTGATTAAATTATTAAATTGAAAGAAAATGTATTTAACTTAATCACATTCGTCAATCTAAATTGAAGTATCCAATTTACATAAATTTATGTTTATCTGAATCTCTTTTTTTTTATCTAAACTTAACTGTTCAAATTTTGTAAATTTTACCCAATTTAATTAAGATAATTAAATCCATCTAGACAATCGTCAAACACTATTAAATTATTTTTTTAAATGTACAGTTATCTCCCTTTACCCCAAAACGAAATTGATTCCTATTCAATTTCCGCTTCATATCGTTTAATGTTGTACGCAGCATGAGCTCGTTACCCGGTCTTAAAAACATCACGATGTTCTCGGGTTTAAGTAAACTGGACGGGTCGCCTCGAGCAAGCAGAAGCAAATAGATTAAAGTAGGGATGTCGCGTGATGTCATATGAGGGTGTAGCTACGTGCATAGGGAGATTGATGTTTTAAAGTTCTAGATGATCTTTGTGTCACGATATTCTTTGGCTCTGTATGATCTTTGTGTCAAGATATTTATAGGTTCTGGATGATCTTTGTGCCAAGATATTCCTAGGTTCTAGATGATCTTTGTGTCAAGATATTCCTAGGTTCTAGATGATCTTTGTGTCAAGATATTCCTAGGTTCTGGATGATCTTTGTGTCAAGATATTTAAAATTTCTGGATGATCTTTGTGTCAAGATATTTATAGGTTCTGGATTATCTTTGTGCCAAGATATTCCTAGGTTCTTGATGATCTTTATGTCAAGATATTCATAGGTTCTAGATGATCTTTGTGTCAAGATATTCCTATGTTCTGGATGATCTTTGTGTCAAGATATTTACAATTTCTGGATGATCTTTGTGTCAAGATATTCTTAGGTTCTGGATGATCTTTGTGTCAAGATATTCCTAGGTTCTAAATGATCTTTATGTCAAGATATTCATAGGTTCTAGATGATCTTTGTGCCAAGATATTCCTAGGTTCTGGATGATCTTTGTGCCAAGATATTCCTAGGTTCTAGATGATCTTTGTGTCGAGATATTCTTAGGTTCTGGATGATCTTTGTGCCAAGATATTCCTAGGTTCTGGATGATCTTTGTGTCAAGGTATTCTTAGGTTCTGTATGATCTTTGTGTCAAGATATTCTTAGGTTCTGGATGATCTTTGTGTCAATATATTCTAATGATCTAGATATTCTTTGCTTCGAAATATTCCAAAGTTTTGGATGAATATTGTGTCAAGATATTTCAAAAGTCTAGTTTATCTTTCTGAAGATATTCCAAAGTTCTATATGATCTTTGTGTAAAACCATGCGAAGGTTCTAGATGATCTTTGAATCTTGATATTTTAAATTTCTATATAACTATTGTGTCAAGATATTCCATATGTTCTAGATGATGCTTGTATCATGATATTCCAAAGTTCTATTTTATCATTTAGTCAAGATATTCCAGTTCTAGATGGTCTTTGTGTGTCTAGACATCACAATATTTCAGATAATTTATCTGTGAAGAAATTCCAATTAATTAAAACTACCAGCGTTTTGTAAGTGGTTATAAAATAATGGTGGGATTTTATTTTAGAGAGAGACTAGGCCTACATAAAACCTGTTTTTTATAAAGCGAAGTCTTGAGTTCGAATTCAGATTGAAGTCCATCCAACTATAATAATCCGTTGACCCGCGTTAGCGAAAGTAAAGGCGGCTGGGTAAAGTGCTGACCACACTATCACTTCATAGGCCGAGGTCACAGAAACAGGTGAACTCTACTTCATTTGCCCAATGGACCGTCAGGTTCGAAAGAGAACTTTAACATAGTTTTTTTTTAATCATGTATGCATCCATTCAAATAAATTTTGAATATAGTCTGTAAAAAATTAAAAATAAATAAATAAACATAATCATTGCCGTCAAAGTTTGCTTGCACAGGATAACAGATAATCAGAGTTTCTTTCAGGCATCTCTTCAGGGGGGCTGTGTCGAAGAAAGTCTACCGCCCCCCCCCCCCTTGGAACGAAATGAAATTTATATAGAAAATTTATACTTTTAACAGTGTCCGCCCCCCCCCCCCCCCGGAAATTTTAGTCCGCCCCACCCTGAGAATTTCAAGTGCCCCCCCCCCCTCCCGCAGAGAAAAAAGTCTGGAAGAAACACTGCAGATAATGATCCCATGATTAAATGGCATTGACCTTGCTCAGTCGTCGCACGTGCACGAGGATTTCACGTGTGAGTTAGAAAGACGTGTCTCAATTTGAACTCGTTTCAATTTTTTAGGTTTCTTCACAAACTGCCAACTCCGTGAATATCTTATTTTTTTTTACCATTTTGTTTATTTTTAAAACTAAATTTTCAGTCAAGTATAGACGCTAGTTAAAAGTGATTTATTCCGTAGCAACGTAATTGGGAATTGGTTTTTAAAGTTAGATCTTATTTTTAAATAAAATAATTGCTAAACATCGATTTAAAAAGTCTATTATCAGCTATTCTTAAAGTGCGGAAACCCAATTACGTCTTGCCGTCAAAAATAGGCGTCAAGTAGGCATGGCTAAAAACAGAAACAAAGGTGGTAATTTTGTTTATTTTTAAATAATAATTACGTCCACTGCCGTCTAGAGTTTCCTAATTATTTTTTTAAAAACAAACAAAAATGTATTTAAAATAATAATATCTCTTTAATGTGCGCATTTACTAACGCCTCGGTTTTTTTTTTTGAAAAGCATGAATAATCAAAACTATTGAATTAACATACGCAACCATACACATACGAAAAAATGCGCGTAAAAAACCACACACAAACGCACACATTTACATACTTTAAACGTATGCCACACAGCACAGACGATCACATACACTTTTATGGACGAACAGCAATTTCACTTTTAACAGAAATTCATCACCTAAATAGTCCAACCAAGGGTTTATGAAAAACGTAGGTGGCTGTTTATATTACAAGTTATTATACAAGCCATTGTACACAGTGTTTCTTCCAGACTTTTTTCTCCGAGGGGGGGGGGGGGGCAATGGTAAAAGTATATGTTTTCTATATAAGTTCCATTTCGTTCGGGGGGAGGGGGGTAGACTTTCTTCATCTCCCGAAAAGATGCCTGGAAAAAACTCTTTACTTAGTTCACAAAGTCCGTCAGTTTGTTTGTGTGTTTGTGACAAATTTTGTAACTCAATTTTGGCCACTTCTATGGCACCAATTTTGTTCAAACTGTCCAGATACATTCTCCTTCGATGACAATGCAAGAGTATCGAATTTTTAATCTAATTAGAGAGACAATGTAATTTAAAAATTACTATATCCAACACTAAAAAGGGAGCTAAGATAAAAAAAAAAACACTAGCTAGCGACGGTTTGATCAGAGCGCTGTCGAGGGTGAACTGTCTATCACGGATGAATGATTTCTCGCCCTATACACGACCATGAACTCTGTAAGGTCAGATAACTGTATTTTACTGATCACAAGTTACTTTTCCTTTTTTTTAAAATATTTTTATGATGTAGACTTTGTAACATCAACTTTATTTCGAGCAAAGACTAAAAAATTGGAAAAAAAAACCCGCAAACATAAAAACCTTTACAATAACAAGGTTTTAAATTAACTGAAAATGAAAAAAAAATGTAATTAATTTGCTTTCTTTAATAAAAGCTTTTGTCGATAAAAAATGTAAGGGATTTTATAAGCGACCAAATATATAAATGAAGAAAGCTATTCATTTTATATTCAGGGTATAAAAGGCTTGTTATTATGAATGTATTTATATTTGTTTGATATAATTTTTAAGTGTTTGTGTGAGCAAAGGTGAGTACTGTCACGTTTTGTTAAAAAACATGCGCGCGCACCATTGATTCACTCGAGTGAAATCCTCTTTTTTCTCTGTAAACAAATGATCTAGAAATAGTTTTATACCCAACAACATTACGTCCTTCAGGCTCTTACTACTAACTTGATTCGAACTCATGTATTGTTAAACTATCTTTACTGATGTATCACCCGACCACCTAGTCACAAAACTATCATCCTAACAATGTCTTCTTAACCCCCGACCCTCCCCCTCCCACCCTACAACCAAAACACTCATATCAATCCCTGTTTGTAGCCATTAATTACAAAGAAGTAAAAGTGCTTTTTCGCCGTCACCTAATATCTGTTTAATTTCGAACCAAAAATTATTCACCATTAACACCATTAAATTCACCTCTATAATTAAATCCTATTTTCATTTAAATCAAAGCTCACCTATATAATCTAATCCTATGTTTGATAAAATTTCACATTTATAATTAAATTAAAATAAAAAAAAAACCAAAACCGTATTTTTTATAATGATCATTTTAAAATTACGACACCAAAAGTAATTAAAGTTAATACATTTGTTTGAAGATTTAATAAAAAAATAAAACCGTACTTCGTTTGATGTTAAAAAAAAACAATATTTTTTTAGAAATTCGAAATTTTTATTTTTATTTCAGACGAAAATGCAGCCAACTACGACCCAGATGATAAAAACAATGCAGGATAACTCTACCAATACGACCTCAGTCGGTAGCTTGTCTCCCCCTGATTACATGTACGCTTACGTCACGATTCTCAATGTCATCATTTTCGCTGTCGGCGTCATCGGTAACGTCATGGTCTTGCTGGTGATGGTGCGCATGCGAATCATGAGGACGAGGGTGAACTACTTCTTGGTAGGTATTCATGACGATTTTGTGAATAGCTGGCGTTGTAAAGAGTGCAGAAAGCTAGATGAATATAAGTAAAAGTTAGTCATTTTAGTTTAATTTCGCTATTTCACAATATTCGTTTCTCTTAAACTGTTCGTTGTTTCAATTCCAAACCGAGGAGATTTCGATACACTGGGCTGCTCACCAAAAAGTTTCGGATCCCTGGCTCCCGTCCAGCGATGTCATTGAGCCCACCCAGCTCTAACGGGTACCTGACTCACGTTAGTGCTAGTATAGGTGGCTTGGCGTGAAACCGATCGCACTATGCTTTCAGGTGAACTCTACCTCACCTGGGGACGGAGTGGTCTAGCGGTAAAGAGCTGGACTGCTAACCCGTAAGTCTCGAGTTCTAATCCGGGTTCAAGTCAGTAGACCGTCCCTGAGTCCACCCAACTCTGATGGGTACTAAATCACACTAGGGAAAGTAAAGGCGGCTGGGCATAGTGCTGACCACACTAACTCTTCATATGCCGAGGTCACAGAAACAAGTGAACTCTACTTCAATTGCCCTATAGACCTTCAGGTTCACCGCCCCTCCCCCTGTATCATATTTTGAACGTAAAAATCGACCATCACCCCCACCCCTTCACAACACCCACCAAGATCAGAAAAAAAAACACAACTGTTAGGTCAGATTGGTAACTCCGCCGGATGCACTGTTGGACACTTTTCTAGCCTTGATGAACACATGAACTTATGAACACATGAACACATGAACATATGAACACATGAACACGACCCGAGACATCCACCACAGCACTTGTTCAATCCACACCCTGTCCTTGCCTTGTTTGTGAACACACAACACAATATCCTATTGCATTAATAAAGCCAAGCAGTGCATGTCGACGGTCATTGAACTTTGACCTGCTGTCGGCAGTTGAATGATGTTGAATCTGATTTGCAGCTACTCGCAAGTTAGGTTTGTGGTTAGGGGAAGTTACGTCTGCCCTGGTACCATGGGGTCAATATGACCCCAGCCCTCTTTGGATAATTTGTTGTTTATATTTTATATATAAAAAAACGTCTGAATTTTTTTTAGAATCACAGGTTTTTGTTGTTTAAAAAAAGTTTTTGGTGAAGTCTTCTGGTTCAACGACTGGACTGGATTAAGATTAAGTTAAGGTTAAGCTTCAGACGGGGGTCACTCCCATTTCGTCTAAAGCTCGGTCTGGTTCCGTTAGGGTGTCTAAAGACAACGTAATAGTCACGTGGCTCACGTCGATATCTACGGCAAGAAAATAAGGACAAGTTGCCAATTTTATATATATATATATATATATATATATATATATATATATATATATATATATATATATATATATATATATATATATATATATATATATATATATAAGGGTCGGTATGGTCGAGTCGATAAACCGTAAGGTCCAGACTTCGAAACCCCAGGCATATGAGGCTCGACAGCTGGAAACAGCCACTCTTCTAGGAGAGACAACTCCAAAATCAAACAACTGCTTCCTTGTAGTTTGTTCTTTGATGGACAAAGGCTAAGGAATTAAATCTAAAAAGAAAAGCAGGCTGAAATTGGAGTCAACGGCCTAAATGGCACATGGCAAGTTGACTCGTAATACTCAATTTATTGGAGGAAATCACTTCCAACATACCTTTAAGAACGGAGAAGGAGACACAATATTTAGGGAATCAAATAGAATGGGGACTAGTGGATATTGTGATCGGGATGGATAGCACATGCTTACTAACACCAAATGTCCTGAGTTCGTACCCCCACGTTATTTAGAGGAAGCAACCCATCTAGAAAAGACAAACTACAAATTAACTGCGGCCTTGCGGATTGGAAACATTAGACGGAAGCCTAGCCAGATGGACAAACAGGTTCAAATCTTGAATCAGCGTATTAATAAATTGTTTTGGAGGATATATTCAATTTAAAACAACTAAAAACAAACCAGAACAAATCAGAATAACAAAGAGAATATACAAAGAGTATAACAGCCAATTCGGAGCGATCAACATTGTCGAATCAAAGAGGAGCTATCGCAAATTACAAGATCAATCAAGCAATTTACATTTTAAGTACAATGTGGCAATCAACTATTCTCTTTCAAGAGGAAATATATATTAGCATATGAAACCAGTGGAAGTTTTCAACACGTTCTTAATTTGTATCTTGGGGAAAATTGAAATGAAAGAGACAATATAACTGGTATTATTTTACCTAGTTATTTTATCAAATTAGTTTTTTTTAGATACATTTAATCGATTATTGCACTCTTTTGAAGTGTGGATCTTTATCAGTAGTCGGATACTACCAAAACAAACAATCCATGTCGCAACCTTAGCCCAACACATCCCAATCCTAATCACACACATCACAAACCTAACTACCCACACACATACTTAACCAACACAAGCATAACCACCACACACGTACATAATCAACACGGGCACACTTAACCACCCACACACACAATCCTAATCACACACATCACAAACCTAACTACCCACACACATACCTAACCAACACGAGCATAACCACCACACACGTACATAATCAACACGAGCATACTTAACCACCCACACACACACACAATCCAAATCACACACATCACAAACCTAACTACCCACACACACACCTAATCAAAATGAACATAGGGTGTCGGCGTGGTCGAGTCGGTAAAGCTTATGGTTGCTAAACCGAAAAGTCTCGAGTTCGAACCCCCGGGCAGATGAGGTTCGTTAGCTGGGGACAGCTACTCTGCTAGGAAAGACAACTCCAAAATCAAACAACCCCTGCCTTGTTGTTTGTTCTTGGTTGGACAAAGGCTATGGAAGCAAATCCAAAAAGAAAAGCAGGCTGAAATCGGAGTCAATGGCCTATAACCAGTTTACACGTAATCCTTAATTGTGATGGAGGCGTGGTCGAGTCGGCAAAAGCTCATGGTTGATAAATTCGAAAAAAGTCTCGAGTTCAAATCCTCTGGCAGATAAGGCTCGATCCCTTCCACCACTAAAAATTAAGAACGAAGAAGGAAGAAAGAAGAAAATGAACATACTTAAGCATTCATATACAAACCAAAACACCACCAACGTACTTAGCAATCCCATACAAAGGCAACCAGCACGAACCCACTTAACCTCCCCCTAATTAAAGATTTGAATTTGATATTTTAAAAAGCGAGAGGTCACGGATTCTAAAGTTATTGATGTGTGTCATTATACAGCTAGTGTTTCTTTCAGGCAGCTTTTCAGGCATTACTTCTACCCCCCCCCCCCTACCCCCACTCCTCCTGTCCCTTATAGAAATGGAATTTAGAGACCAATTTATATGTCCTTCCGCGGAGAAAAAATGTGATTGAAGCACTGTATGTAGTAATTTAAAAAGTAGTGTTCTATCTACATTGTTCTCAAAAAAATACACTTATAGAATTTTTTTTTGATACGTTAGGACAAAGTAAACATCTGCTTACATTTCAAATTATTTTTGAAAATTGTGACGGATCATGAGTTCTAAAAGTTTAATGAGTGTCGTTTTTTTTTATAAAACATTTTAAGTACATTATTCTCAAGTACATTTTTTTAGATTTTTTTCTTTTCTATCAGGATGATGCTGCTTCAATTTTCACATTCGTGTTTTAAATAATTATAGGTTAGGGGTACTTAAAGTCATTACATTTAACCTGGGTGGACTAAAAAGAGACAGATGTAAGAGATTATCATTTGTTAATTTAACCCGGATTTTTTTTTTCTGGGTACACGCCACGTTATGTTAACACGGTAGGGAGGGAGGGAGGGGAGGGCGAAAGGGGAGGGAGAGAGGGTAGGGCGATTTTTTAGAGGGGGGAGGGAATGGGGTGGGGATTGAAGGGGGGAGGGTGAGACCGCTGCCTTACGTTCAAATACAGACCCTATGACCTTTTTGTGTCAAGTACACTGCCCCCTCCCCCCCCCCCCCCCCCCACATACACTCTCAATTTTGTATTTCTTATCTCAATCTCAGACTATGTGCAAATAGCCAATTTGAAATACCCGCTTTGAACTGAACCGTCTTATACTTACGTACACAATTTATTTTCCTTCTTAAAAGTCATTACAATTTTTTTTCAATAGTCCCGTATTAGTGAGTTCATTAGTTCCCTTGATTATCAACATAGAGGTTATACTTAGGACTAATCACCCTTCATGACTTTTAACATAGGCAGCCTAGTATGTTGACATTTAAAGGGAAGTAAGAAAATGGTTTTAAAAAAGGGAAGTAACTCTATATGTGGGTTCAGGAAAGGAAAAAAAAAAAGACAGTGATAGATGGTATCTCATTATGATGTCTGGCTTCGATATTTTCCTTGGTGCCATTACAAAGGGCGAGAACTGCGTGGGTGATCTGTGATTTAGTATGTGATGCAGTTAGCCTAGTGTTCAAATAGTGGTGTTTGACTTTGTTAAACAATAGCCCGTTAACTTGACGTATCTGATACGTTACTAGCTTACACACACCCTGATCGATTCGGTAGTTGGGAAGAAGGGGCGGGGGGGGGTGTGTTGGGCATAGATCTTCCAGAAATGTTTGTCAAACATTCGTGGAAAAATATGTCTATTAATACAGAGGGTTTGAAATATTTCGAGTAAATTTATATGAAAGCCATTTTATTGATTTTTTTTTCACAGTATAATGCTAAAGCGTTGAACAGATCTACAGAGTTCTTTTTTTTTGGGTGGGGGGGGGGTTGGCATTTAGATCTTCCAGAGAGTATGAAATTTCGAGTATATATTTTATGAAAGCCGTTTTATTAATGTTTCTCACAGTATATAGCTAAAGCGTTGAACTGATCTACAGATGAGTGTTTGGGGGGGGGGGGGGAAGGGGGGGGGGATAAATTACCCGTTGATTAATGTACAGTATATGTGTAGCTAAAAAGAATCGACCGGGAGAAACCCAGTGTTTCTTCCAGACTTTGATCTCCCGGGGGTGGGGGAGGGGGGTGGGATTTGAAATTTTCGGGGAGGAGGGTGGGGGAGGACAGACTAAAATTTCCGGCGGGGGGGGGGGGCGACACTGTTTATATATTTTGTATATAAATTCCATTCGTTTTTCTTAGGGGGGGGGGGAGCAGTAGACATTTAGGGGGGGGGGTAGCTTGGAGATGCCTATAAAAAACTCAGGAGACACCGGTGAAGTCCGTAAAGAAAGAAAAGCTACACATCACCCCCACCCCCTCCTTCACCGCTCACTAATACAGTTACTCGAAGTCTACATAAGCACGCTGCTAATGTTCGTTATATTAAGTGGATATTTGACATTTTTTATAGTCCGACCCTTTATCAGATAGTGATTAAAGGTCTAGTGCTGTGATATGGCGTTTTATTCTCTGTTAATATTAAGACGTGGTCGGGTATTAGAAACACGACTGCTGACCCAACAGCCTGGAGTTCTTCCGGACTTAAGTCCCAAGTTTAGACCCCCCCCCCCCCCCCCCCGGGGCAGATGAGGCTCGTTAGCCAAGGACAGCAACCCATCTAGGAAAGACAACTCCAAAATCAAATAATGACTTCCTTATAGTTTGATCTTTGGTGGAAAAACGTTGTAGAAAGAAATCTAGAAAGTAAAACAGGCGGATGTCGGAGTTAATGAACCATAAGGTGCATCACAAGTTGAAACGGATTTCTTGCTTGTGGGGGAAGAATTTCCGCTCCTAGATTACAAATATAAAAATAAAAAAAAATGGAGAACAAACGGGAAATAACTGAGTGACGTTTTATTGTCAGTTAAGTCTGGGTATTTCTCAATGGAAAAAATCAGTCTTGGGGGGGGGGGGGGGGGGGGGTAATGGTGGTAGTGGTAAAAGCTGGGTATGAGGAGGGGGTTTGGTGTTCGGTGAGGGGTGAGTGACTGGGTGATGGGGGTGAGACTGGGTGAAGGGAGGGGCTAGGTGTGGTGAGGGGAGGAATGGGGGGGGGTATGGAGCTGGTTGACGGGAGGGGTGTGGGTTTGTGTAAGGTCAGGGGTATGGAAATTGAAGATCAAGACATTAACGAATTTGGATAGAAAATAAGACGTAAATGTAAAGTTTATCAAATGGTTAAATGGAAATTTTTCAAGAAGAGGCTAAAAAGAATGATCGCATAAACATTTTTAAAATTATACTATTTCGTTTACAAAATGAAACATGAAGTTTTATGATCAAATGTTTAATAAGACTGGAACAATTTTTGAAAAAGTAGAACGCTTTTAAAAAACCGTTTAATATTAATGCAACAGTAATTGTCTTAGTTTCATTTACTAAATTAGATGAAAGTTGTTCTCCTTACAATTTTATGACATTATCTTTGAGGTGTTTCATTTTATTTTCTTCTCGTATTGTGAGACTGCGACATATTGAGCTTGTAATACAATGGTAATGTTAAAACATAATTTAGTTTTCAAATTAGATCGTATGGTTTCCTGATGACCTTGGTTATCTGGTAGGGGTGGGGGTCAGGTGGACGTATGGAGGGGACGTATGAAGGGGGTGGGGTCAGGTCGACGTATGCAGGGGGTGGGGGTTAGGTGGACGTATGGAGTGGGTGGGGGTAGATCGGCCAATAGAGAAAGGGCAGATTTAGCTTTTAATTGACTACATTCTTAACTTTCTGTTTAACTTCAACATTTATTTCTTTATTGTTTTTTTTGAGCTAAAATTCAGAGCTTAGTAGAAAGGAAGTGTTTTTGAAAAGGGAGGTGGGTGGGTGTGGTATGGGATCCCATCAAGTTTGACAAGAGCTGTAACAGACGAACGACATATGACGTAAATTCACATGGAACGAGATTTGTCCTACTGTTATTGCATAGGGATCACAGTATATTATTATATCCTGTTGGGATTTTTTTGTTTGTTTCCTCTCTTATATGCATATTGAATGTCAGTTCAAACATTGAACAGGCGGAAATTGGTAAGAAAAATAAATGGGCGTTGGAACATTGAAAGTTTAATTTAGATAGCGTTGTGTTTGATGTATGTATCTGACAAAGGAAGTAAGTTTGGGGCTGTATTTTGTTTTCACATCATGTTATTTCTATATATTTTCTTTTGCATGTAATAATGTGTGTTCTTCAAAATCTTTTATCTTTGTTTCCCTAGTGATTCGTTACACTAACGTTACTTCGCTTCGTCCGTCTAATTAGCCTACTCTAAGTAATTAAAATTAATTAGTATAATATAAAATAGTCTATATTTAACGTCACATATAGATTTTCGTTTTTCTTGAATGTTGGAGTGACAATATTAAAAAAAAAAAATTATTTTAAGATTTTTTTTTTCATGTACTTACTCGTCTTCTAACTGTTTTAGGTAATTAGCGTACCACGTCGTCTATGAGGCAAGATGACAAGAAGGGCTCATTATTCTAATTAGTAAATTACCCTTTCGAACCTGAAGGCTCTAGGGGCAGTTGAAGTAGTTCACCAGTTTATGTGAACTTGGCATATGAATAGATAGTAAAGTCAGCACTATGCCCAGCCGCTTTTACTTTCCCTAAAGTAGGTCAGGTACCCGTTAGAGCTGGGTGGACTCAGGGACGAGCTACGACTCTTGCCACGGACACGAACTCGAAAATTTCGGGTTAGCAGTCGAACGCTCTACCATTTGACCATGCTCTAATTAGAGACACAGTTGATTGTCTGTGAGATCTGAAAGCTGGGTGGAATTAGGTCAACAGAGGGGATAAACATGGTGGGTGGGGGGGGGGGCGTATTCTAACGCAAACTAACGCTTAACAATTCGACCATATTCTAATTAGAGATACAGTTAAATGTCTGTGAAGTTGGGAAACATAATGAAATTAGGTCAACAAAGGGGATAAGCGTGGAGGGTGGGGGCGTATTCTGACGTCACTAATGATGTCTGTATATAGTTTTGTAGCGTCTTATGAATCATATGACGTCATTTATTTTTAAGTTAAACCCGAAGCTGTCGTGTCACATGAACTGGGGGCGGGGCGTTGTGAAATCGTTGCACGTATGTATCGAAAGCAAACTGATGAATGTAAGAAATGTGACGTAAAACAATGTATTTTTATCAGAGAAAAAATGTTTGGCTCATCGAAATACGACGCTAGAAAAAGAAAATCTGTGGGGAAATAGGATATACATTCTAGGGGTGTTTTAAGATTTCCCTGAGAAATCCTGCCGTCTCATACGTATCGCCTACACTAATATCAAATGTTAGTTGAATGCTGAATCAACATTGGGATCATCCAGAAATTACCCGTCACGCGTTTTTCTATGCAGAAATATATTACAATATTTTACGTATCACTATGTTTAGAATGCTCTATTCTAAAATTACAGATTGATTAAATACAGAAATATTGTCTATTTAGTAGGATCCAAACATTACGAAAACAACGTTCTAAATTAAATGTTGTATAAGTAAATGTTATATGCAGATATATGGGGGTTTTATGATGTTCTTAATACTAATATTCTACAATAAAATGTTGTGTATAAAATGTCAAATTAAAATGTTCTATTTAAAATATTATACATAAAATTAAATTTACAGTGTTCTATATAAACATGTCTATATGTACTACATTTAGTGTTTTTTTTTGATAAAAATAAAATGGTCTAAATAAATTTTCTAAATAAAGTGTTCTATAGAAAATATTATTTTTTACGAAAATGCTCTATATTAACTTTTTTATATGTGCTACATAGTATGTTTTATGTTCTAAATATGTTCGATATAAAATGTTCTATATAAAATGTTCTATAGAAAATCTTTTATATTAAAACTTTTATATACAAGTTCTATATAAAATGTTCGATATAAAATATTTTATATAATATGTTCTATATAATGTTCTGTAAAATGTTCTATATAAATTGCTTTTTATAAAATTTTCTATATAAAATGTTCTATGTACAATGTTCTATACCTGCGTGGTTTTGTTCCCAGGCCAGTCTGAGTGTGGCGGATCTCCTGGTGTTGGTCGTCTGCCAGCCCATCGCCATGTTGGTGTTCTACACGAGGGAGGTCTGGGTGCTGGGCAGTTTCATGTGTGAGTATCTGGGTGCTGGGCAGTTTCATATGTGATTATCTGGGTGTTGGGCAGTTTCATGTGTGATTATCTGGGTGCTGGGCAGTTTCATGTGTGAGTATCTGGGTGCTGGGCAGTTTCATATGTGATTATCTGGGTGTTGGGCAGTTTCATGTGTGATTATCTGGGTGCTGGGCAGTTTCATGTGTGAGTATCTGGGTGCTGGGCAGTTTCATATGTGATTATCTGGGTGTTGGGCAGTTTCATGTGTGAGTATCTGGGTGCTGGGCAGTTTCATGTGTGATTATCTGGGTGTTGGGCAGTTTCATGTGTGAGTATCTGGGTGCTGGGCAGTTTCATGTGTGAGTATCTGGGTGTTGGGCAGTTTCATGTGTGAGTATCTGGGTGCTGGGCAGTTTCATGTGTGAGTATCTGGGTGTTGGGCAGTTTCATGTGTGAGTATCTGGGTGCTGGGCAGTTTCATGTGTGAGTATCTGGGTGCTGGGCAGTTTCATGTGTGAGTATCTGTGTGCTGGGCAGTTTCATGTGTGAGTATCTGGGTGTTGGGCAGTTTCATGTGTGAGTATCTGTGTGCTGGGCAGTTTCATGTGTGAGTATCTGGGTGCTGGGCAGTTTCATGTGTGAGTATCTGTGTGCTGGGCAGTTTCATGTGTGAGTATCTGGGTGCTGGGCAGTTTCATCTTTGAGTACACTTATAAGCCTTGATCAACGTGTATGTGTGAGTACCCATAAGCCTTGATGCACGTGTATGTGTGAGTACCCATACGCCTTGATACACGTGTATGTGTGAGTACCATAATGGGACAAGGGAAGTAGAGTTCCCCTGTTTCTGTGACTTTGGCATAGTGTCAGCACTATGCCCAGCTGTTTTTATTTTCTCTAACGTGAGTTAGGTACCCATAAGAGCTGGGTGGACTCAGGGATGGTCTACTGACTTGAATCCGGATTCGAACTCGACTTACGGATTAGCAGTCTAGCTCTCTACCGCTAGGCCAATCCGTGTAATAAATAAAACATATTCACACACGGTAACATAGACATACATATGCAGAAATAAAAACAACTAAAAAATACACAGTTTCTTTCCGACTTTTTCTTCTAGGAGGGGGGATTATAAAACCTTCGTAAGGAGGGAGCAGGACAAGTTAAAGCAATGATTTTCTATACAAATAATATACTCTTTCATTTTGTCCGGGGCGGAGCGAAGTGGACGAGTTAATGGGGAGGGGTGGGGCAATGTCCCAAGAGAGATGACTGAAAGAAACTCGAAAAACCGTATAAAGATCCTAACTTAAAAAAATAATGACTTTGTTTCAATTTTGTGAATTGAAACCAAATTTAGAAAATTTCAGGATGATGAAAAAGTGTACGCCTGAAGAAATATCCGATTTATATTAAATGATCCGGGTATGCTCGTCTGCGATTTCATAATAGAATGACTTGCCCTAATCATCAGGCATATAAAGTCCTATCGATCGTGTCATATTTAGAAACATGCATTATTGTAGTGTATGGTATATTGGTCTAATTCTTTCCATAGTTTTAGGATGTAAATCAATTTCACTTAATAATTTGACAAATCTTTTATAAAGTGCAGAGACAAGATATTTTTTATAATCTTTGTCACAATATTTCCCCGTGTGTGAACAAAACACTTAAAGAAGACGAATTAGAGTTTGTCTACTTAAACGACATTGGCATACGAGGGTGTACTATGGATAGTACTATACCCAGCCGCCTTTGTTTCCCTAACGTGTGTCGGGTACCCATCTGAGCTGGGAGGACTCGGGAACGTACTACAGACAGGAGCCCGGGATCCGAACTCGAAACTTTCGGGTTAGCAGTCATAGACTCTATCATTCGATCTCGCCGTCTCCTGTATTAAAATAGAAGTCATCAAATCTTTATTTTAGCGTCTTGAGAGCCCCTGCCCCTGCTACCCCCCACAGATAGCACCCCCTCCCACCACCCAGCTACCCCCCCCAGCTAGCACCCCCTCCCACCACCCAGCTACCCTCCAGCTAGCACCCCCTCCCACCCCCTCCCACCACCCAGCTACCCCCCCCCCCCAGCTACCCCCCCCAGCTAGCACCCCCTCCCACCACCCAGCTACCCTCCAGCTAGCACCCCCTCCCACCCCCTCCCACCACCCAGCTACCCCCCCCCCCCCCCCAGCTAGCACCCCCTCCCACCCCCTCCCACCAACCAGCTACTTTCCAGCTAGCACCCCCTCCCACCCCCTCCCACCACCCAGCTACCCCCCCCCCCCCCCCAGCTAGCACCCCCTCCCACCCCCTCCCACCAACCAGCTACCCTCCAGCTAGCACCCCCTCCCACCCCCTCCCACCCCCTCCCACCAACCAGCTACCCTCCAGCTAGCACCCCCTCCCACCCCCTCCCACCAACCAGCTACCCTCCAGCTAGCACCCCCCTCCCACCCCCTCCCACCACCCAGCTACCCCCCCCCCCCCAGCTAGCACCCCCTCCCACCCCCTCCCACCAACCAGCTACCCTCCAGCTAGCACCCCCTCCCACCCCCTCCCACCCCCTCCCACCAACCAGCTACCCTCCAGCTAGCACCCCCTCCCACCCCCTCCCACCAACCAGCTACCCTCCAGCTAGCACCCCCTCCCACCCCCTCCCACCAACCAGCTACCCCCCAGCTAGCACCCCCTCCCACCCCCTCCCACCACCCAGCTCCCCCCCCCCCAGCTAGCACTCCCTCCCACCTCCCACCTCCCACCTCCCACCACCCATCTACCCCCAAGCTAATACCCCTTCCTCCTACCCAGCTACTCCCCCCCCCTCAGCTAGCTCCCTCCCCAAACCGACTAACGCCACCCTCACCACCCCCTTGTTGTCTAACTGTGCGTGTTGATCCACAGGCAAGATGGTACCATTCCTGGAACACTGGACTCTCCATGCTTCAGTGCTGACCCTGCTGTTGATTGGGTTTGATCGATACTTCATCCTGTGCCGGCCTCAGGTCAGTGGGCCACGGTTAGTGGGTGGTCAGTGAATGGTCAGTGGGCCACGGTTAGTGTGCCACGGTTAGTGGGTGGTCAGTGAATGGTCAGTGGGCCACGATTAGTGTGCCACGGTTAGTGGGTGGTCAGTAGGCCGTGGTTAGTGGGCTGGGATTTGTGGGCCGTGGTTAGTGGGCCACGGTTAGTGGGTGGTCAGTGGGCCACGGTTAATGGGTGGTCAGTAGGCTGTGGTTAGTGGGCTGGGATTTGTGGGCCGTGGTTAGTGGGCCACGGTTAGTGGGTGGTCAGTGGGCCACGGTTAATGGGTGGTCAGTGGGCTGTGGTTAGTGGGCTGCGTTCTGTGAATCGTGGTTAGTGTGCTGTTAGTGGGCTGCGGTTAATAATTAGGCAATTAAAAAATAAAATAGGTATAGATCTTAACGGCTGGTAACACCAGTGTAAGAAATACCATATGCTACATCTTTTTGCTACTATCATGCGTGTAGCAGATCCCACTCCATCTTTTTTATAGAGTGCAAAGATTAAAGTAATACGAATAGAATACCCCGTGCTTGAAAGCAACGCTTAAAAAAAGTGATCTATGATTGTATTTAATTTCTCGGGCCCATCGAATATAGCCAGCCAAACCCTGTTTCGATTACAATGGCAGTTTAAAATTGCATCTCCACTCACACACCCAATCACCCAGCCAGCCTCAAATACACCCACATAATCCCCAATTCCTTATCCACCTACCAAATCCCCAACCCATCCACCTACCAACCCACATATTACACTTCCAACGACCCACCTATTCACCACCCATCACATCCCCACCCACCCACTCATCCACTCATCCATCCACCCATCCACCAAATCCTCACCCACCAACCCACCAGCCCACCCACGGTAAATATTTACGAACTCATCCACCCACCGGTGGTAAACTTTTCCTGAACGAAACACTCACATGCCACCCTAAAGAATTGTTCCCCACCCCCAGACTCAGATCTGCCCGTCCCACACCTGTCTGCTTATCATACCTGCATGGACCTTGTCGTGTTTCCTGGCCATTCCATTTATTTTCCTGACCCACCTGAATCTGGAGCAACATCAGGATGGCGCCAAAGAGGTCAGTGAACTCATTATCTTTTGGTCGAAATAATTAAGAAAAATACGTAATCTCTAAGTATGTTTATAATGTAAAATGGAACGGCGTGGTCAGATGTTGTGCACACGGGTGCTAACCCAAAAGTCTCGAGATCAGAGTCTATAGTGAGTTCACACAACTGTGATGGGTACATGATTTACGTTAAGGGAAGTAAAGATTTCTGGGAATACTTGCTGATCATACTATCCCAGAAACATGTGAACTCTACTTCGTTAGCCCCATGGTCTTTCCTGTGCAAAAAGGGTTAGATTTATTTTTATTTTTACAAAGTGCCTAATAACATAATAGGTATACACATATTAAGTCTCAAGTATATTTATATAAAATCATAACCAAATTTTGATCATACTTAGCTTTTTTTTACATGTTTATTGAGCAGAGTTTGTATGAATGATTTTACTCATTACAACGTTTTAGAAAACACTATCTAACAGTCCCAATAACACACTGACAGTGAAGACACTGATCATGAACAAAAACAGACCAGTATCACACACCAACCATCACACACCAACTATCACACACCTACCACCATCACACAAACCATCACACAAACCATCACACACCAACCATCACACACCAACCATCACACCAACCATAACACACCTACCACCCACACACCAACCGTCACACAACAACCATCACACATCAACTATCACACACCAACCATCAAACACCAACCTTCACACACCAACCATCACACACAAACCATCACACACCAACCATCACACACAAACCATCAAACACAAACCATCACACACCAACCATCACACACCAACCATCACACCAAAAAAATCACACACCAACCATCACACACCTACCATCACACACCTACCACCATCACACACCAACCATCACACACCAACCATTACACACCTACCACCTACACACCCACCATCACACACCAACAATCACACACCTACCACCACACACCATCCATCAACATCAACCAGCACACACCCACCATCACACACCTACCATCACACACCATCCATCAACATCAACCAGCACACACCCACCATCACACACCTACCATCACACACCATCCATCAACATCAACCAGCACACACCCACCATCACACACCTACCATCACACACCATCCATCAACATCAACCAGCACACACCCACCATCACACACCTACCATCACACACCATCCATCAACACCAACCAGCACGCACTCACCATCACACACCACCACCACACCACCTAACCACACCATCTCCTCCCACAGGCGTGTCGCACCGAAGCCAACTATCACACACCCACCACCCACACACCCACCGCCCACACACTCACCATCACACACCACCACCACACCACCTAACCACACCATCTCCTCCCACAGGCGTGTCGCACCGAAGCCAACTATCACACACCCACCACCCACACACCCACCGCCCACACACTCACCATCACACACCACCACCACACCACCTAACCACACCATCTCCTCCCACAGGCGTGTCGCACCGAAGCCGGACAAACCCACTTCCGCATCTTCAACGTCGTCACCTTCTTCATCATGTTCGTGGCTCCCCTCTTTCTCCTCCTCTTCCTCTACACCTCCGTCATCACCACCCTCCGCCGGCTCAGCTGCACCGGCGACGTCTCCATTTCCGGCATCGTCAACTCCGACGAGTCCCGGAACGGCATCCACCACGCCACGGCCAGAAACCGCCGCCAGGTGGCGCAGATGATGGTCGCCATTGTCGTCTTGTTCTTCGTCTGCTTCATGCCCTTCAAGGTATGTTGTTTGGTTACATGTTGTTTTACACGTTACCATGGAAACATTATGTTTCTAACATGCATTGCACCAATTTTGTCTTTTTTTTTGTCACACTTTTCATCTTCATTACCACTTTTTATTTATTTTTAATTTATATTTTATTTTTTTTAATTTATTTAATTTATTTTTAATTTAATTAATTAATTTTTTTTTATTTTATAAATTAAAAAAAAATTGCAAAAAGTTTACCAAATATTATGTGGTATTAATATATTCATCTAAAATTTAAAATTTATTTTTAGTTTGTTTTCCCTGAATAATGAAAACAACATTGGGGTAACCTTGTCTACAATACAACAGTAGGCTATTTAACACACAAAAGCAACTATTGTAAAAAGCTGACTATTTATAAGCTAATTTTCATACACATATTTAGGCTGTACCGAAATCCCTGCCCTTGATTAATTGTATAATTTTCTTGTTTTGGTTAGTGTATTTATTAAACTGCACGAATTCACATCGTTGTTTCCCTGTATTATTTATTCTAGTTATCTCCCTGCACTGATTAAAATTTTATTCCTGTCTGCACTTATTAACATAGTTACATCCCTTTACAAATTTACATAGTTCCCTACCTTACAATAATATTTACATCTACCTTCTCTACCTTTATTGATTTACAACTACCCCCTTTACAAATAATAATTTTTACATCTCTTCACAAATAAACGTAATTACATGACTTCATTAATTCAAATAATTACTTATCTTCACTGATTACCTTCCTGCGACTGACCTTTTGTTTACCACAGAGAATGACATTCTGTTCGCCACATCGAATGACCCTTTTTAACTGCATACAATGACCTTTCTTCCCCTCCTCCTTAAATACTGACCATGTGGTTGACCTTCTGTTCGCCATAGCGACTGACCATTTCTTTCGCAACAGTGAACGATTTCTAATTCGCAAGAGCGAATGGCCTTCTGTTTACTACATGAAATGACCTTCTGTTTGCCATAGCAAATGACCTTCTCTGTTAACTACATAAATTACCTTCTGTTTACTACATAAAATGATCTGTTCGCCACAGCAAATGACCTTTGTTAACTACATTAGTGACCTTCTGTTTACTACACTAAATGACCTTTTCGCCACACCCCCTGAACTTTCTTCCCTCCCCCTCCTCAGATCCTGACCATGTGGCTGACCTTCGCCACCGACGATGACCTCGCCTCCCTCGGGTTCGAGACCTACTACAACCTCCTGTCCTTCTCCCGAATGGTGACCTACATCAACAGCGCCGGAAATCCGGTCATCTACGCGTGGATGTCGCCCAAGTTCCGGCGCGCCTTCATGCTCTCGTTGCCTAGGTAACCGCGGGTTCTCAGCCTCTATCTCAGTGTACATGTTCTTTACTTTCGTGTCATTATACACATACACTGGTGTTTACAGAAAGATGCAACAGCGATAGAGTTAAAATAGTCTACTGTTGTGTTTAGAGATTGTAAAATTTAGCCATGTTTTTTATGTTTTCTTCGCTTTTCAAGTTCGTGCCCAAAAGACACATAGGGTAGATGAAGTAGAGTTCGTCTGTATTATTGAGCTTAAAGGGGGTTCGGCGTGGTCTTTTCCGTAAATCTCATGGATGCTAAACCGAAAAGTCTCCATTTCGAACCCTCGGACAGATGAGGCTCGTTAGCTGGGGACAGCCACTCTTCTAGGAGAGACAACTCCAAAATCAAACACCTGCTGCCTTGTAGTTTGTTCTTGGTTGGACAAAGACTATGTAAGCAAATCCAAAAAGAAAAGCAGGCTGAAATCGAAGTCCAATGGCGCATAACCAGTTGACTAGTAAACTTAATTGTGTTGGAGGGAATCTCTTCAAACACTAAAAATTAAGAACGCAGAAGAAGAAAGAAGTGACCTCGGCTTACAAAAGGATGATGTGGTTAGCACTTTTCCGAACTATATTTTTTATTACCCAACGTAAGCCAGGTACCCATAAGAGCTGGGTCGACTCAGGGAAGTCATACAGACTCGAGTCTGAGATCCAAACTCGAGACTTTCGTGTTAACAGACGTAAGCTCTATCGACTACACCATCCGATATACTTTTTATACCCTGTCAGAAATCAACCATTGAAATAAACGAACCAAACATGTCATATCTTACGCCTTAAGTTTTAATTTTAAATACGCAAGATTTATCGGAAGCAGTAATTTAACACATGACATTTTAAAAATTATTCTTATCAGTCATTTCCCCATTCTTAAATATTTATTTCTGTGTTTATAATCTTCAGGTGCAGACGTCATTCCAGTAAAATAAGACACTAAATGACGAAGGGAGATGTAACTCTCTCAAACAGGGGAGTTAACTCCTCGACTCAAGACGTGTTTCGTCGTACACAGGCAGGCATTTCTTATACATCCAGCCAGCCATGCAGCTAGGCAGCTCTACAGCCATACAGCCATGCAGCCATACAACTGCAAGGTCATGCTGCCTTATGGTTAGACAGCGATACAGACAGCAAAACGGAAAATACTCAGCACAATAGACATATTCGCAGAGACACAGGTGTAAAGCCATGCAATCATAGCTTTACAGCCATACAATTAGACAGCTCTACAGCCAGACAGCAATACAATCAGACAGTATTGCTATCATACTCGGGCAGATGAGGCTCGTTAGCTGGGGACAGCCACTCTTCTAGGAGAGACAACTCCAAAATCAAACAACTGCTGCCTTGTAGTTTGTTCTTGGTTGGACGAAGGCTATGGAAGCAAATCCAAAAAGAAAAGCAGGCTGAAATCGGAGTCAATGGCCTCAATGGCGCATAACCAGTTGACACGTAACGCTTAATTGTGTTGGAGACGTGGTCGAGTCGGCAAAAAACTCATGGTTGAAAAATTCGAACAAAGTCTCGAGTTCAAACCTACTGGCAGATAAATCTCGATCCCCTTCAACACTAAAAATTAAGAACGAAGAAGAAAGAAGAAGAATTGCTGTCATACATTAAGACAAAACTCGAAATATATAATCAGCTATACATATAACTAGAGAAGAATTCAGCAACATCATCAGCCATTACCTACACTAACCACAACACCCTCGCTATTCTTCTGGTCTTGATTAGGGGGCCAAGCTCACGACCTTTGAACTCCAGTTCGTGGCTACCACACGCGGCTTTATAAGGTTAACTACTCCATCGATGTACACACACAGACACTCATACACGTACACACTCACATACACACACACACACACACACATTCACTCATACACGTAAATACACGCACACACTCACACACATTCATTCACATACACACACTCACACATACATACATACACACATACTCATACACTCATACACTCATAAACATACACATACACATATACACTCGCACACACTCACACACTCACAGACTCACACACATGCACACACTAACACATACATACACATACACACAAACGCATATACTCTCAAGCCAATATTATCAAATCTCAAAAAGAGGCGTGTCTACACTATTATCGCTGGGAGGATAAGACGAGTTTCACTCTAAATCTTTTATACGGATGTTTAGTCTGAATTATATATACACCTTATAACGGTGCGCGTTCTACTAAAAGTTTTTTTTTTGCGTGTTGCTTAGCTGATTTATTACACCTTATGTCACTTCCTTAAAAAAAAATATAATACAACACAATACACTAGATTTGGCTGGTAAATTTAAATGACATTTTAAATGAACGATGTTGTATTTTTTTTTACATCGCAAATGCTGTTTAGAAATAAAATGAATACATTTTTACATGAAAATAAAGCTGAATACAATACTGAAAAAATAACTCATTTATAAAAAAAAAAAGAGTTTTAGCAGAAAAAAAATATCAACAAAATTTCTTTCTTTTTATTTTATTTTTTGCATTTTAACAAGTGAAAAATATGTAAACTTTTCCATCGACCACCCCCCTCTCTCTCCCCCCTCCCCCTCATCCGACCTTTAAGGTCTAGAAGCCCTGGGCGGTGTTTGGTCTTTTAAATACTATTTTTAATGGGAGATCAATTCAATATTGCTGGTTTCATTTCAACTTATAAACTTCTCTACTCTGTATAAAATTTAACTTAAAAATATGTTTACGTCCATGCTGACTAACAAAGTAACTAGTCTATATTTTATGTTTTTTGTCTTTTGCTTTAATACTGCTTCAAAGTTGTGTTTTTTGAAGAGATGTGTCCTGCTTAACAGAGGTGCCAATTCATTTAAAGACAATCCTTTATGTTAGATAATGTATATCGGTTACGTATTTACATACAGTTTTATGTTTTTCTATATTCTCAAGACCAAGCTTCTTTGAAAATATTGTCTGTGTGATTTTAAAATACGAACTACGTTGTGTTTCGGTCTGATTCTTAACACATTTTAATTTCATTTTTTATTAAGGGGAAGTAACTCAATTTAAAAGATTATTGTTCTATTTATTTATATCTTTCAGTTTTAATTATCTTTTAAATCTATATTGTATCATATTGCTATCAAAAATTAAAAAAAACGTTTCTTATAAATTGGATTTATCGATTGTAAGAACTAAATATTTTTTTTCATAATTTAATACAAATCTATAAATGACATGTAAAAACTAAAAGCAAATATACATTCCACACGCAATGTTTAACATGACGCTTCAGTTTAATTTGATTTGTGACATTTTTAATTATTCGGGAATAGCCATTTAAGGCTAAGGAATAAATGAAATAAATAATCTATCATGTACATCAGGGGTCTCCAAACTTTCAGTCCGAGGGCCGCATTAACTGTTCACAGTTCGGGGGCCAGAATTGCTTTAAGGCATCTCCTCGTGGAGGGGGCGCCACCCCTCCCGAAGAACGTCTACCGCCCCCCCCCCCCTACGAAATATAATTTATATAGAAATATTTACAAATTTCAAGTGTCCACCCCCTACCCCGCCCCCACCCCACCCCACCCCCACGTTGAAAAAAGTCTGGAAGAAACGCTTTCGGGTGTCGATAACACACTCGGGGTCCAAGTTTGCTCTCAAATTGTTCTTCAAATATTCTTCACAAAATTTGAAAGGTACTTTGATGCAGAACTTTTAATAATATTAGGAAAGTCTTCCTTGTGCAAAAACTTATAAAAACCCATCTGCCCTTCTTTGAACGTGTCTCTAAGGAAGTCATTTTCTTGCAATTCAATGACCTCCAGCTGCAGTTCATCTTTGCAACTGGCCACATTTGCTTCGAATGGGCTTTGAAGCAGTCTCACTTCTTCTGCCTTTGAATCCAAGTCAGAGAACCTACTGAAACTGCAGCTGGAAGTCTTTGATGATCATATGTAAATGACGTGGAAAATTCATTGGTTGCTTCAGCCATAAAGAACTTGCACTGCTGAAAGTGCGTCAAGTTGTTAGCCTGTACTTGTTCCAAAAACATGACAAGTTTGAATCTGAAGGCCTTTAAGTGGGTGTGTGGATAAGAAAGTAGATTTCCCTCTCTTGCCGATTTAGGTTCAGAAAATTTAAATGACTAGTTATGTCTGTAGCAGAGGCCAATTTCTATACCCACTCTAATGAACACAAGAAGTTGAGTTGGAACAACTGTCCAGCGACTCATCCATTGCAATTGAAAAATGGCGAAGCTTGCTCACATATTTCGCTATTTGAGTCATGATGTTTTCACCAATGTCTGCAACACGGCGGGCAATGGTATTTGCACCCAAAGCTACATTTTCAAATTGTTTTGAATTTTGTGTGCAAAGTTGCTAAGTCACCTCTAACAACATTTATTCAGAGGACAAAAAGATCGTCCGGATGAAATGGCCTCGCGGGCCGTAGTTTGGAGACCCCTGATGTACATTTTACAAGCAGGCTGCCCTGAAAGTTTTGCTGTATTTCTCTCCCCTTACCTGTCTTGACCTCTCCTCATTATAAAATGCGTCATGATAACATTTTAACACGTTTTTAACACGTTTTTATTAACTCAGCTTCGCGTGTGTTTGTTGTTAAAATTGACATCGAAAATTAACCCACTTCTGATTGCTCAATAGATCTGAAATTTGGCATGTAGGCTACTTTCGCCTAACAATTTCAGATGCAATCATAAAAACTAGCAATTAGAGACGGTAATTAGCTTAATTTAATTACGCCCCAAGGACCATAAAATTGAGGACATGATTTCTAAAGATACCGACAAGACTGGAGGCTTATAGACACAGTTACTTCGGCCCCAATCGATGTGAGCGCGCTGGCCGTGATCGTATAGTGGTTAGTACTTCGCGTTGTGGCCGCGACAACCCAGGTTCGAATCCTGGTCGCTCAAGATTTTTTTAGTCCGTGTATTTATAAACACTTAGTCAATTCATACTTAATCAAGTCATTAGATAAAGTAGAAAATAAACTATATAAAAAACTTTTTTAAAAACCACGTTTTTCATGTGTAGCAACGGACTAAAAAGGAGAAAATAAAATACTTAAAAAAAACTTTTTAAAAAACCACGTTTTTCTTGTGGACTAAAAAGTAGAAAATAACTATTTACATACATTTGATGACAAAAAACGTGGGTCGGGCAGATGGGTCGGGAAATTTGATGGTGAACGTACCCACGTTTTTTGTCATCAAATGTATGTAAATAGTTATTTTCTACTTTTTAGTCCACAAGAAAAACGTGGTTTTTTAAAAAGTTTTTTTTAAGTATTTTATTATTAACTCAGCTTCGCGTTAGTGTGTTTGTTGTTAAAATTGACATCGAAAATTAGCCCACTTCTGATTGTTCTATAGTTCTGAAATTTGGCATGCAGGCTTCTTTCGCCTAACAATTTCAGATGCAATCATAAAAACTAGCAATTAGAGACCGTAATTAGCTTAATTTAATTACGCCCAAAGGACCATAAAATTGAGGACATGATTTCTAAAGATACCGACAAGACTGGAGGCTTATTGACACAGTTACTTCGGCCCCAATCGATGTGAGCGCGCTGGCCGTGATCGTATAGTGGTTAGTACTTCGCGTTGTGGCCGCGACAACCCAGGTTCGAATCCTGGTCGCTCAAGATTTTTTTAGTCCGTGTATTTATAAACACTTAGTCAATTCATACTTAATCAAGTCATTAGATAAAGTAGAAAATAAACTATATAAAAAACTTTTTTAAAAAACACGTTTTTCATGTGGACTAAAAAGTAGAAAATAACTATTTACATACATTTGATGACAAAAAACGTGGGTCGGGCAAATGGGTCGGGAAATTTGATGGTGAACGTACCCACGTTTTTTGTCATCAAATGTATGTAAATAGTTATTTTCTACTTTTTAGTCCACAAGAAAAACGTGGTTTTTTAAAAAGTTTTTTTTAAGTATTTTATTCTCACTGGTTTGTATGTAGAGTGTCTCTCACTTTTGTTTTTGACACAGGGCATCACTTAGATTTAGTATATATATATATATATATATATATATATATATATATATATATATACTTTATATATATGTGTGTGTTCGTTTGAGTGTTTATTACATAATAATATATAAACGAACGCATACAAATATACATTTTACCATTGTACCTGAACTTCTAAACTTGTTTTTTATCATCTCTAAAAATGTTATTTATACATTTTTAATGACGTATGACTTGTGCCAAAATGTGTTTTATGATAAATTGTGTGTGTGTTTATATTTCAGAATAACACCAAAAGGTGTATCACTGTTGTTACTTTTGTTTTTTTGTCATTGGTAAATACTGCCTTGACTTGACAGAAAATAAAACTTGTCATAAATGTATATAACGTAGCATTTGTCAAAAGTTTGAAATGCGATATGTGTAACACGTGTTGTTTTTTTTTTCCAAAAAATATTTCAAAGACAAAACTATTTTTAAAATTTCATTACCAAAAGAATTACTATGTATTGTAGCATGATACAATTTATTTAGCATATTTCTAGTTAAACACGAATCCATTCTCATCTTCGTGCTCAGGACACATGGGATAGATGAAGTAGAGTTCATCTGTTTCTGTGACCTCGGCATATAAAGGTAAAGTGTGGTCAACGCTATGCCCAGCCGCCTTTACTTTCCCTAACGCGAGTTATGTACCCATCAGAGCTGGATCGACTCAATGAAGTTCTACTGACTCGGATTTGAACTCGAGATTTCGGGTTAGCAGTCTTGCCAGTCTAGTGCTCTGCCTTAAGGCCACGCCGAAGAATCCCTTTATAAAGTCCATTTCTACGTGTAAACACAGTGTGATATTTTTTAAGTAAACTCAGTTTTTTAAATGATAGTTCATAGTAAAAAGTAAATTGCCTTTTTCCTACGTGGCGCTGTATAGTGGAGAAAGAGTACAACCGTTTTGTGTGCATTAACATTTGAGAAAAAGGTGTTGTCACCTAAATGCTCAGTAACATTTACTTTTCCCAACATGCGTTGGGTACTCATTAGGGCTGAGGCGACTCAAAGTTGTCTTATGAACTTGAGCTCGATATTTTCATGTACACTGTCCGCTGCTACAAAACACCCACCCTGTCGGTTGTTTGTGTTCAGTGTTTCTTTCAGAATGTTTTCTCCGTGGGAGATGGAGGGGGTCACTTGAAATTTTCAGGGAGGGGGAGCAGACCAAATTTTCTGCATAGGGGGCGGGGGCGGAACACTGGTGGTAAAAGTATATATTTCATGTATCAATTCTATTTCGTTCGGGGTGTAGAGGGTGAGGGGTGGAGGGGGGCTGGGGGGAGGGGTATGAACTCAGTCCCCTCTCCCTAAGAGATGTCTGCTAGAAACTCTTCTTTTGTTCCTTGCTATACATACACCGAGATCTGTTTAGTGTCAGGTACTCAGGATAAATGGGTTGTCTCTCCAGCTAATATCAGTGTTTCTTCCAGACTTTTTTCTCCTGGGGGGGGGGGGGGGCACTTGAAATTTTAGGGAGGGCGGTAGACTTTCTTCGGGGGGGGGGGCGGACACTGTTAAAAGTATATATTTTCTATATAAAATTATATAAATTTCATATTGTTCGGGGGAGGGGGGGGGGGGGCGGTAGATTTTTTTCGGGGGGGGGGGCTGAGGAGATGCTTGGAAGAAGCTGTCTAATATTGACACAGTCAAAGTGAACAAATACAATCTGGGAGCTAGATAGATTAACCCTAAGTTTTGTGGAGAATGTTAAACACCAGTGAACTCCCTTTAAACCCATTCTCCCAGCTTGTAAGACGTAGGGCCTATATTCAAAACAACATTCGTGTTCTCGTGTTAATGTTTTTATCAAGATTTTTTTTCGAGTAACGTCCCTTTCAATTCAATTGTAAAAAAAAAAAAGATTGTATCTTGCTATAGTGATGCTGTATATGGAATTTATGACATTGTGGAGTTTAAATAAAATAAATTCAGAAGATTGTTTTTCTATTTTCATTTTAGAAAAAATAATTAAAATATGTGAATGTGTGTATGTGTGTATTGTGTTTGTATATAGGAGGATATACTTGAAAGAATGTATGTGAATAATGAATGGACGATTGTATATACATACACACACACAGACCCAAAAGTATTTCATAAAGTATAGAAAAATTTGCAACAATCTACAAGTGTCATTGAATTGATTAGTATTTCACTCGTTCCATATATTTTCCCTGTTTTGTAAATATTTGAAACACCCAAGCTGAAAAAAATCATCTGTGAAAAAGTATGTCGAAAGTTAAACAAATTATAATTTCAAATTTCAATAATAAAACCTACGGATTTTTAAAAAAAAATTATTTTCTTTAACGAATGCTTAAAATTTTTTAATATTCTACACGTGAGTCAGATCGGTTTTCGAGTTAAAGATAACGGTTAAAGAGATTTTTCGAATGTATTATTCTATAAGGACAATGAAGTAGAGTTCATCTGTTTCTGAGAACTTTTAATATGAATTAAAATAGGGCCAGTTCGAGTCAGTTACTGTTTAGAGATGTCAGTTATAAGGAAGGAACCCGAACACAAAACTTAGAATTGTCCACGAAATTCCGTTTTCTCAACGATATTTTAATATTCACTCCACGTACATATCAGGTGATAGCATATTGTTAAATCATCCACTTTACTATAGGGTGGTAAGTAGGTCAATAAACAGTTCTATGGCTCATGCAAGTTTTATCGAGCTGTAGAACTGGTTGTTGACATTATTACCAGTCCTATAGGTAAGGCGCTTCTGTTTGATGGATTCGTTCCCTTTGTTAGGTGCAGAAAAATTAATTACGACGGATAGCCTATCAGATTTTTCGTTGCTTTTTATTTTTATTTTTAAATTTAACATAAGGACTTTTAACAGCCGTTTAGATATTGTTTGGGTTGTGTAAGGTATTGCTAGAAACATGTTCAGACGTTAGTATATGCGCAGAGAACAATTTTGATACACATCTCTATGTGGTCAATTTTGTCATCAGCACTACTTTTAAGTTTTCTTATCGAAATTAAAAAAAAATGTTAAAAAAAATCAAAGTCCTGTGCAATGAGAGTCTACAGGTGGTCGTCCTAATTACAGATATCAAAGATAAGAAGGTTACAGCAATTCGTGCCAAATTGTAAATGAGTTAAAACATCGTTTCATCGAAATTTATTGAAACTCGAAAACTTTGAATTTTATAAAAAATAAAATCGAGTTTTAAAAACATAATGTAAATAAAGCATCGATTATTCAAATTTAAATAAAGTAGCTAATAACATTTTTAAAAATCAATACGAGTACATAGCTAACAAGAAATGATAATGTTGAAAAAATTGATCAAACATTCGAGCTTCGCAGCTAATTAAGACGACAAAAATTAGCATACCTTAGCACAAGCAGGGTCGAAAACATGCTGTGTTGAATTATAGATATAGTTATCACAAACACAAAGTAGTGAGGTACCGTCACACGGAACAAAAACAAACAAGTTGCTAATGCCCCTAGATTGCAATTAATGAAAATGGTAGCTGCAGTGAGGTTTAAGAAACGAGTAATAACACGGATAGTGTTAGTATCTGCACTAATTAATTGTCTTTAATTTTTTTTAGGATACTAACAATATATCAATACAACGTATCATTCACATACAAAACAATGCGGCATTCACACAACAAGCAATACCAGTTTCCAACAGGTCGCCGTGGTCGAGTTGGTAAAAGCTCATGGTTGCTAAACCGAAAAGTCTTGAGTTCGAATCCTTAGGCAGATGAGGCTCGTTTGATGGAGACAGCCACTGTTCTAGAAGAGACAACATCAACTACTATGGAAGCAAATCCAAAAAGAAAAGCAGGCTGAAATCAGAGTCAATGGTGCATAACCAGTTGACATGCAATGGATAATTGTGTTGGAGGGGATCCCTTCCAACACTAAAAATTAAATAAAATAGAATGTTGAGTAACGTAAACGAGGTAAAATCTGACTTGACATTTAGCTCTACTATCCTATCTGGCAAGTCAAGTATCTTCTCGCGTGCCAGGTACACACACGAGATTTACAAACGTTATATAAAATGTTTATCTATCTGCCTTATTTTTTTCTTGTGCTTAGGAGTAGCTCACTATTTTCACAGCGGTAATGCTTTTTTTCCTATCATTATTAGAACTTTTTTTTGCAGTGATTTTTCCCCACCTTTATTAGAATTTTCTTTTGTAGAGGTTTTTGTTAAAATATGTATAATTTCAAACATTAATATTTTTTTCGACAAACTCGTATCACATTTAGCTTTAGCAGCTAAAACATATCCAAAAACGTAAAAAACTAAAACTAGTAAATAATGTATTGTTGCTTTAAATAGACTAAGTTTGAAAAAAAAAAGTTTTTTTAAAATATGTAGTGCATTTATAAACTACTTTAACGTGTTTTTTTTTTATTTGTGATGATCGTAGTTGAAGAAAAATAATTTCAGAATCTAACTGTCCATAAGTAAGATGAAGTAGAGTTTATCTGTTTTTTGTAACCTAGGCAAACACATTATATGTATGTCCAGCTGCTTATACTTTTACAAACGTGAATCACCAGATACTCAAAAAAGTTCATTGAACTCACGAATGACCTGCAGAATCGAACCCAAATCGAACTCTATACCTCGGCTTAGTATTAGTGCGCTCTACCACCCAACCACGCCGCTCCATCAAGCTAATTAACTAATTAACTAATCAAATATTCCCCTCAGATGTTGAAACTTGTGCTGTCATTAGGCCTGGTGGCCTTGGTGTCTTGCACCCAACTCGATGCTGAATGGTCCAGGTTCAAAACCACTTACAGGAAGGTGTATCAAAACGCCAGGGAGGAGCTCATGAGGTAGGCCTTCAACCGACAGAAACCGTAGATAGTGCAGAGGCGTGGCGAGGGGGGGGTACTATGTCCCCGGGCGCCGTCCTTAGGGGGCGCCAAAATGGGTTTGAAAAATAAATTGAAATTTTGAGGGAGGGGAGGAGGGGAGTGCAAATTGAAAGTTTAAGGGGTGGGTGCAAATTGAAAATTGAAAGGTTGTGGCGCCTAATTGAAAGTTTGTCCCCGGGCGCCGGGAAGGGTCGCTATGCCTCTGAGATAGTGTTGCGCATGTATCTATCATAATTTTTATTTTCATTTCTTATGGGACATAGAGCCTGCGTAGGTATTAGATGGAATAAAATCAGTTTTGTGGTATTGAAACGAAGCATTTTTTTGTATAAACGTTCATTAAGGGGGGGGGGGGGTAGAACCAATTAGTATATAATAGGATCAGCTGGAGTGGAAGTAACTGTGTGTATTTTTCTGTAAGTTCTATTAATCTTGTAGAAGTTGAAATTTGTGTAAAAAGGTTTTTGAGTCAGTCTCACCATTTACTTCATCATTTCTGAATATCACGATGTATGTTCATATTTGATATATTTACACAAACACATACAAGAAATAACTAACTATATAGTCAATCATCTATTTTGGATCAATTTTGCAGGCACAATAACCAATAAGACATATTATTATGTATTAAAATATTTTGGTGCGTATTAAAACTATTTTGGCTTTTTTTTTTAAATTACAGACGCCAAATCTGGGAAACCAATATGTTCTTTATCAAAGCGCACAACGACGCTTACGAGAGAGGGGACTTCAGCTACTTCCTCGGGGAAAACGAGTACGCTGATATGGTAGGTCACGGGGGTGTGTGTGGTTGAGGGTGTGTGTGTGGAGGGTTGGTGTGGTTGAGGGTGTGTGTGGTTGAGGATGTGTGTGGTTGAGGGTGGGTGTGGTTGAGGGTGTGTGGTTGGGGGTGTGTGTGGTTGAGGGTGTGTGGTTGAGGGTGGGTGTGGTTGAGGGTGTGTGTATGGAGGGTGTGTGTGTGGTTGAGGGTGTGTGTGGTTGAGGGTGGGTGTGGTTGAGGGTGTGTGTGGATGAGGGTGGGTGAGGTTGAGGGTGGGTGTGGTTGAGGGTGTTTGATGAGGGTGTGTGTGGTTGAGGGTGTGTGTGGTTGAGGGTGTGTGTGACTGAGGGTGTGTGTGTGGAGGGTTTGTGTGGTTGAGGGTGTGTGTGTGGTTGAGGGTGTGTGTGGATGAGGGTGTGTGTGGTTGAGGGTGTGTGTTGAGGGTGTGTGTGGTTGAGGGTGTGTGTGGTTGAGGGTGTGTGTGGTTGAGGGTGTGTGTGGTTGAGGGTGTGTGTGACTGAGGGTGTGTGTGTGGAGGGTTTGTGTGGTTGAGGGTGTGTGTGTGGTTGAGGGTGTGTGTGGATGAGGGTGTGTGTGGTTGAGGGTGTGTGTTGAGGGTGTGTGTGGTTGAGGGTGTGTGTGGTTGAGGGTGTGTGTGGTTGAGGGTGTGTGTGGTTGAGGGTGTGTGTGGTTGAGGGAGTGTGTGTGGAGGGTTTGTGTGGTTGAGGGTGTGTGTGGTTGAGGGTGTGTGTGGATGAGGGTGTGTGTGGTTGAGGGTGTGTGTGTGGAGGGTTTGTGTGGTTGAGGTTGTGTGTTGAGGGTGTGTGTGGTTGAGGGTGTGTGTGGTTGAGGGTGTGTGTGGTTGAGGGTGTGCGAGGTTGAGGGTGTGTGTAGTTGAGGGTGTGTGTGGTTGAGGGTGTGTGGTTGAGGGTGTGTGTGGTTGAGGGTGTGTGAGGTTGAGGGTGTGTGTGTGATTGAGGGTGTGTGTGGTTTAGGGTGTGTGGTTGGGGGTGTGTGTGGTTGAGGGGGTGTGTGGTTGAGGGTGGGTGTGGTTGAGGGTGTGTGTGTGGAGGGTGTGTGTGGTTGAGGGTGTGTGGTTGAGGGTGGGTGTGGTTGAGGGTGTGTGTGGTTGAGGGTGTGTGAGGTTGAGGGTGTGTGTAGTTTAGGGTGTGTGGTTTGGGGTGTGTGTGGTTGAGGGGGTGTGTGTGGAGGGTGTGTGTGGTTGAGGGTGTGTGGTTGAGTGTGGGTGTGGTTGAGGGTGTGTGTGTGGAGGGTGTGTGTGGTTGAGGGTGTGTGTGGAGGGTGTGTGTGGAGGGTGTGTGTGGTTCAGGGTGTGTGTGGTTGAGGGTGTGTGTGTGTGTGAAGGGGAGTGCAAGGGAGTTGAATAACAGAATTTTTAGTTCTGTTTTAATATGAAAAAAAAAATTAAATCACGTAGCTGCTTATTGAAAAACAGAACCAAAAAAAAAATAATACATTTCAACGTCTTAAAAAAAGCTCACAAATTTAAAAAAAACAAAAAGAACTGTCAAAATTGGGGCCGCAGTGGTCGAGTGGGAGTGCTCATGGTCTTTAATGACAAGTGCTCCGAGTTCGAATCCCGGGCAGTTGAGTCTCGCTATTTGGTGGATGGCAACATGTCCAAAAAAAAAAATAAATAAAAAAACTGTTACCTTAAGAAAAGTTGTATGAATTCTATGTCAACAGAATGTCGAATGATGATAAGAAATACTTAAATCATTCAAACAATATCCTTTAGGGAAAATTGTATTCCAATATTTTTGTTTAGGCTACTGTGTGTCTGTCTCCCTCTGTGTGTGTGTTTGTGTGTGTCTGTAACTCCGCAAATATTTGATTTTTAATTTAACCCACGCCCCATCTTCCAATTGAACTGAAATTTGGCAAAGTTGTAGATCTTGAAGCTCACTCACAAAGAATGTATGCCCTTTCAATCATAGCTTTACTCTCTAAAACAAAAAGTAAAAACAATGTTACATTTTCGTACCTGAGTCCACCCAGCTCCGATGGGCAGAGGAGTAGCGACCCTTCCTGGCGCCCGGGAACAAACTTTTCGATTTGCACACCCCACCCTCCATCAAACTATCGATTTGCAACCCCCCCCCCCTCAAGATTTCGATTTCCACACCCCCTCAAATTTTCGATTTGCACCACCCCCTCAAGAATTCGATTTGCAACCCCCCCCCCCTCAAACCTTCAATTTGCACCCCCCTCAACCTTTCAATTTATTTTTCCAACCCATTTTGGCGCCCCCTAAGTTCGGCGCCCGGGGACATATGTCGTCGTCCCCCCCCCCCCTTGCTACGCTACTGCCGATGGGTACCTAACTAACGTTAGGAAAAGTAAAGCTGGCTGGACATAGTGCTGACCACACAATATCACTTCATATTTTTGTTTTCAAGAAACATATAAACTCAACTTCACCTACCCCATTTACCATCACGAGAAGATAACCTTAACTTTTAATTTTTCAAACCTCTAGAGCAATGAAGAGTTCGTCAGGACGATGAACGGCTACAGGTTCGCCGAGAGGACAACCTACAGCAACCTGGTGCACGTGGCAGGCAACCTGCAGGACCTGCCTGCCGAGGTGGACTGGAGGACCAAGGGTTACGTCACGGACGTCAAGAACCAGGTACGTGTGCAATGTGTGTGGGACGTCAATGACGTCAAGAACCAAGTACGTGTGTACGTCAAGATCCAGGTATGTGTGCAATGTGTGTGTGACGTTACTGACGGCAAGAACCAGGTACGTGAGCAATGTGTGTATGACGTTACTGACGGCAAGAACCAGGTACGTGTGCAATGTGTGTGGGACGTCAATGACGTCAAGAACCAGGTACGTGTGTACGTCAAGATCCAGGTATGTGTGCAATGTGTGTGTGACGTTACTGACGGCAAGAACCAGGTACGTGTGCAATGTGTGTATGACGTTACTGACGGCAAGAACCAGGTACGTGTGCAATGTGTGTGGGACGTCAATGACTTCAAGAACCAAGTACGTGTGTACGTCAAGATCCAGGTATGTGTGCAATGTGTGTGTGACGTTACTGACGGCAAGAACCAGGTACGTGTGCAATGTGTGTGGGACGACGTCAATGACGTCAAGAACCAAGTACGTGTGTACGTCAAGATCCAGGTATGTGTGCAATGTGTGTGTGACGTTACTGACGGCAAGAACCAGGTACGTGTGCAATGTGTGTATGACGTTACTGACGGCAAGAACCAGGTACGTGTGCAATGTGTGTGGGACGTCAATGACGTCAAGAACCAGGTACGTGTGTAATGTGTGTCGGACGATAGTCAAGAACCAGGTACGTGTGTAATTTGTGTCGGACGATAGTCCAGAACCAGGTACGTGTGCACTGTCTGTTGGACGTCAATGACGTCAAGAACCAGGTACGTGTGTAATGTGTGTTAGACGTCAATGACGTCAAGAACCAGGTACGTGTGTAATGTGTGTCGGACGATAGTCAAGAACCAGGTACGTGTGTACTGTGTGTCGGACGTCAATGACGTCAAGAACCATGTACGTGTGTACTGTGTGTCGGACGATAGTCAAGAACCAGGTACGTGTGTAATTTGTGTCGGACGATAGTCCAGAACCATATACGTGTGTAATGTGTGTCGGACGTCAATGACGTCAAGAACCATGTACGTGTGTAATGTGTGTCGGACGTTAGTCAACAACCAGGTACGTATACAATGTGTTTGACGTCAATGACGTCAAGAACCAGGTCCGTGTGTACTGTGTGTCGGACGATAGTCAAGAACCAGGTACGATTGTAATGTGTGTCGGACGTCAATGACGTCAAGAACCAGGTACGTGTGTAATGTGTGTCGGACAATAGTCAAGAACCAGGTACGTGTGTAATGTGTGTCGGACGATAGTCAAGAACCATATACGTGTGTAATGTGTGTCGGACGTCAATGACGTCAAGAACCAGGTACGTGTGTAATGTGTGTCGGACGATAGTCAAGAACCAGGTACGTGTGCACTGTCTGTTGGACGTCAATGACGTCAAGAACCAGGTACGTGTGTAATGTGTGTTAGACGTCAATGACGTCAAGAACCAGGTACGTGTACAATGTGTGTTGGACGTCAATGACGTTCTAAAACCAGGTACGTGTGTAATGTGTGTTAGACGTCAATGAAGTCAAGAACCAGTGTGCAATGTGTGTCAGACGAGTCCAGTTCGTCTAATTAAAAACAATGAGGTCTCGTACAGGTGAGGTATTAGAGGTAAAGGAAGTAAAAAAAAAACAACAAATAATTTTCTACAGGTTAAATTTTCGTGTGACGAATTCTGACTAACAGTTGCACACATTTTTGTTTTAGATAATTTTTATAATCAGCTCTACCGCATATATCTATTACATATAAATGCTATTATTTGATGCCTAAAACAATTCCACGTATTTGTTCCCGATCATACCAACGTTGATGCCCAAACATAGCTTGACCTAAAGCCCTAGATCTAAAATGTATCTTACAAAAAATAAGCTAGTAAATGCGTCTTTAATCGCCCCTGAGTCTACCCAGCTCTAATGAGTACCCAATCTAGGTTTAGGTCAGTAAATGTTGCTAGACACATAGCTGATCACACGTCTTTTATATACCGAGATCAGTACTATTAACTATTGATACTTGCAGATATTCTATCCTGCTATCTTCTGTTGGTAGTTGCTGATGTGTCTGTTATTTAATCTCGTGTCTGCTATTATCTTCTGTTAGTAGTTGCTGGTATGTCTGTTACTTCATCGTGTGTCTGCTAATACATTCTGTTAGTAGTTGCTGACGTGTCTGTTTATCTCGAGTTTACTAATGGTTACTTAGTGGCCAGTAGTCGACGTGTCAGGTAACCCATCTTGTCTGCTACTGGTTTCTGATGGCAGTAGTCGACGTGTCAGGTAACCCATCTTGTCTGCTACTGGTTTCTGATGGCAGTAGTCGACGTGTCAGGTAACCCATCTTGTCTGCTACTGGTTTCTGATGGCAGTAGTCGACGTGTCAGGTAACCCATCTTGTCTGCCTAACTTTCAGGGCCAGTGCGGCTCATGCTGGGCCTTCTCCACCACCGGCTCCCTGGAGGGCCAGCACTTCAAGAAAACCGGGAACCTGACGTCACTGTCGGAGCAGAACCTGGTCGACTGCTCCCAGAAGCAAGGTGAGTCGGGGCTGGAACCCCCCCCCCCCACTGGCCACCAAAAAAGACAGTTGTTTAACGTAGAGTCACAGCTTTTGACCAAAGTGAACTTATGTTGCTTTTATAATCCAAATTATTAAATGTTATAAAGCAACACTTTTCCTTATCCATAATCCCAATAGAATATATGCTCCATATATAAATAAATAAAAATTAAATTAGAAACATATTATATATATATATATATATATATATATATATATATATATATATATATATATATATATATATATATATATGTACATGGAAAGTCTTAATTAACTCTCACATACCTCAACACAAAAAGTGTCTATACTTTTGAACATTGAACACTCTCCGGATCAGTATAACATCTTCTCTAGCCTTTGGAAAATATTTGGTCGTCATATGTTTTTAAATCTCTATCATTAGCAAACCTTGTGTCGCAATAAATGTTTTTAAAAAATCTCTAGTATTAGCAGACATTTTGTCAAAACTCTGGATTTATTAAACAATTTTCCCCACTCTACTTCCTCAAACCTCTGGCATTATTTACCACTCTGTTGTTGTCCAGGTAACCAGGGCTGCAATGGCGGCTGGATGGACCAGGCCTTCACCTACATCAAGGTCAACAATGGCATCGACACAGAGACCTCATACCCATATGAAGCCATTGTGAGTAGTTTTAGATAGTATCACGTACAGTTAATTTTCTTCAGTTAGACGCAGTAGTTTTGTCTCAAATCTAAGTACAGGTTATTTTTTCTTCAAAGTTAGGTACCGTTAATTTTTTTCAAAGATAGGTAACGTTATTTTTCTTCACAGTTAAGAACCATTATTTTTCTTCAAAGATGGGTATCGTAATTTTTCTTCAAAATTAAGAACCGTTAATTTTCTTTAAAGATACAGTTTTTTTTTCTTCAAAGTTAGGTACAGTTAATTTTCTTTAAAGATCGGTAGAGTTATTTTTCTTCAAAGTTAGGTACAGTTAACTTTTTTTCTTCAAATTTGGGCACAGTTAGTTGTTTTTCCTTAAGGTAAGATGTCAATGAAATGGAATTTAAAAATATGTAGGTTCAATTTAGGATCATGGTATTGACCTAGTTAGAAACATGGTGTTGACCAAGGTATTTTTAGAAACATTGTGTTGACCCAGGTATGTTTAGAAACATGGTGTGGACAAGGTATTTGTAGACCTTGTTGACCTTGGTATTGACTATATTTTAAATTTAAAGTGTAGTCTGACAAACTTTTTAAAACCAGTGACCTTGACCTTAACCTTGCTCTCGGCCTTGACCTCCCCTAGGACGACACCTGCCGGTTCCAGTCTGCCAACGTCGGTGCCACAGACAGCGGGTTCGTTGACGTCAAGTCCAAGGACGAGGGCGCCCTGCAAGACGCCGTGGCCAACGTGGGCCCCATCTCAGTCGCCATAGACGCCAGCCACGAGAGCTTCCAGGTAACTCGTGGTGAACTGCGTCGAGAGAAATATTTATTTGGTTAGCTCCCCTATGCAAGATTCTATCAAAAGAATCTTCTTCTCCTTCGTTCTTAATTTTTTAGTGTAGGGAGGGATCGAGCCTTTTCTGCCAGAGGGTTTGAACTCGAGACTTTTTTTATCAAGAGAATAAAAGGGTGGTAATTATGTATTAATTAAACTAGATATTACGTGGCTGCCTATAAATGATTAGATTGTCTACCTTTCAATGTCAAGCTCTAGCCTATAATATGCCTGATTATGTATCCAACAAGGTTGATTAAGCTAAGATAGTTGTTTTTCCCGGACATTTTCCTCTAAGTAGGGGGGGTGAATCGAAACTTAGGAACGCACTTAAGTTTTCGTTTCCATGAAAAGTGGTACACTGGTAAAAACATATATATATATATATATATATATATATATATATATATATATATATATATATATATATATAGATATATATATATATATATATATATATATATATAAAGCAATGTATGTGTGTGTGTCTGTGTGTGTGTGTCTTTTATGCATTACCACACCTCTTATCACATCGCCGTGAAACTTTGGGAAGTTGTTGAGAATATTATGGGGGGGGGGGGGGGGTTTCTGCGAAAAAAAAATTTCAAATTCGCAGGGGTGGCGCCCCAACAGGGCGCGATTTGTTTTTCTCTCTTAACGGTATATAAAAATAAAAGTCTATTTTGATTTCACACTGTTCATCCGATAGCCATGAGACTTTGGGGAGTTCATTATACCACTCTAGGGAAGGGTTCTGTAAAAAAATCATTTTTAATTTCGCAAGGGCAGCGCCACGGGAGGGTCCGATTTTTCTCTATATACGGTGTATAAAAATAATAAAAGTGAATTATAGTGACACCGTTCATCCGATAGGCATGAAACTTTAGGGAGTTCATTATACCACTCTAGGGAAGGGTTCTGTAAAAAAAACATTTTTAATTTCGCAAGGGCGGCGCCACGGGAGGGTGCGATTTTTCTCTATATACGGTGTATAAAAATAATAAAAGTGAATTGCAGTGACACCGTTCATCCGATAGCCATGAAACTTTTGGAAGTTGTTGAGAATATTCCTGGGGAGGTTTCTGCGAAAAAAATATTTCAAATTCGCAGGGGTGGCGCCTCGACAGGGCACGATTTGTTTTTTTTTATATACGGTATATAAAAATAAAAGTCGATTTTGGTTTGGCATCGTTCATCCGATAGGCATGTAACTTTGGGGAGTTCATTATAAAACTCTAGAAAAGGGTTATGAAAAAAATAATTTTTAATTTCTCAAGGGCGGCGCCACGGAAGGGTGCGTTTTTTCTCTATATACGGTATATAAAAATAATAAAAGTGAATTGAAGTGACTCCGTTCTTCCGATAGTCATGAGACTTTGGGGAGTTCATTATTACACTCTAGGGAAGTGTTCTGTAAAAAATCATTTTTAATTTCGCAAGGGCGGCGCCACGGGAGGGTGCGATTTTTCTCTATATACGGTATATAAAAATAAAAGTCGATTTTGGTGTGACACCGTTATCCGATAGCCATGAGACTTTGGGGGAGTTGATTAGAACAATTCAGGGAAGGGTTCTGTAAAAAAAAATCCTTTTTAAATTTTGCAAGGGCAGCGCAACGGGAGGCTGCGATTTTTTCTCTATATACGGTTTATAAAAATAAAAGTCTATTTCGGTTTCACACCGTTCATCCGTGTACCATGAAACTTTGGGGAGATGATTAGATCACTCAATAGTGGGTTCTGCAAAAAAAATAATTGTTTAATATTGCAAGGGCGGCGCCCTCCGGGGGGGGAGCGATTTTTTTCTCTCTATACACGGTATATACAAAATAAAACTCGGATGCGGTTCATCCGAGTGCCATGTAACTTTAGGGAGTAGATGAGAATACTCCCGAGAATATTTCTGCGAAAAAGAAAACTAAAGTTTCTTATGGGCGGCGCCATATAGGGTACAACTTTCGTCAATACACGGTTTGGCACCCAGAGTTTTAGAGCGACTATGTTGGCACTTAGCATCCGTTAATCGAGCGTCCTGCATAGCGAGTAAGGGGTACTACTATATTCAGCGGTAAAACTACAACAGGCTTCTAAAAATAACTTTGTAACGCGATGAAATCATTCTGTACAGTTTCGTCACGTTGCGAAAGATGAAAAAATAACTTTTTGAATATGAGGAGCCTACTGTAGAGTTTCGTCACTTTGCGAATGATGCAATACGCTTCTACTATTAGACAAGCCAGTCAGAAATTGAGATCAAGCATCTAATAATAGACCATTAGTAACGCTAGCTTATCGCATCAGTCACACTGATGTTTAAAACACGTCAAATACTTTTTTTACGTGTTAAAGAAAAAAAATCCTGTTCATTTGTGTCACTTTAGCGAATAACGAAATTTGCATCATTATTAACAGGATGCTATTTGGCACGATGGCGCCAGTTACTTTTAAGGAGCCAGGGGTCATACGCCGCGACTATGCGGTAGTCTAATCGGGGGGTGGGGGCCCTGAGAGCGCCCCTGTGTGTCTCTGACACATGGGCGGTCACCGAAGTGTGCTCTAACATTATTTCGGTGAGTGGTCAATGTTTTCATGCGGTAGTGTAGGTAAACCCGTGTCCCGATATTTATGATTTAAGCGCAGGCATTGTTTATATTTAAATAACTCACTTTTAGAAAAGACGGACACGCGTCTAAGAATATATAATTATAATTGGTAACGCTTTGGTGAAATCCTTCTAATACATTTCGTCAAACTTTCTTCTGTCCCCGCGGCAACGCGCGGGGGACGGGTACGCTATATATATATAAAAAAATCTATATAAATATAAATATATATATATATATATATATATATATATATATATATATATATATATATATATATATATATATATATATATATACATATATATATATATATATATATATATATATATATATATATATATATATATATATATATATATATATATATATATATATATATTATTTTCAAAAGAGATGCCTGAAAGAAACTCTGACCTTGATTGTGCTATCATGCTACTTATTATCACTATGCTATCTATATTATGCTACATCACTACCGAAATTATGCTACCTAGCCACATAGATTATGCTACCTTGATACCTACATTATACCATGTAACCTACACTGTGCTACCTTTTTACCTAGACTACGCTACCTTATTACCAAGAGTATAACTAGTTACCTAGACAATGCTACCTTGTTACCTAGACAATGCTACCTTGTTACCTAGATTATACCTTGCCACGTTAATACCTTGCAGCTGTACAAAGGTGGGGTGTACCACAGCTACCTGTGTAGCGAGACAGCCCTTGATCATGGTGTGTTGGCTGTAGGCTACGGCAGCGATAAGGGCAAAGACTACTGGCTAGTGAAGAACAGGTGAGAAAAATAAGGGCAAAGGGCAAAGGTCATGTTAACACGAAATGTGTAAAGACTACTGGCTAGTGAAGAACAGGTGCGGAAAATAAAGGCAAAGGGCAAAGGTCGTGTTAACACGAAATGTGTAAAGACTACTGGCTAGTGAAGAACAGGTGAGAAAAAAAGGGCAAAGGGCATGTTAACACGAAATGTGTAAAGACTACTAGCTAGTAAAAAACAGTTAAGACAAAAAAGGGCAAAGGGCAAAGGTCATGTTTTCAAGAAATGTGTAAAGACTAGTGGCTAGTAAAGAACAGGTGAGACAAATAAGGACAAAGGGCAAAGGTCGTGTTAACACGAATTGTGTAAAGACTACTGGCTAGTGAAGAACAGGTGAGACAAATAAGGGCAAAGGGCAAAGGTCATGTTAACACAAGATGTGTAAAAACTACTGGCTAGTGAAGAACAGGTGAGACAAATAAGGGCAAAGGGCAAAGGTAATATTAACATGAAATGTGTAAAGACTACTGGCTAGTAAAGAACAGGTGAGGAAAATAAGGGCAAACACAGACAACTGTCTAGTGAAGGGAAAATAAGGGCAAAATTTCTAACTCATAAAGAGACAATTGAGAAGAGAAAACTGTGTAGTACAGAGAAAACAAGAGAAATAACTAGTGTAGAACAGGGGAGAGAATATATGGATAAAAACTATAGGCTAGTAAAGAAAAAGCGAGAAAAAAATGTGAAGAGACTGAAAAAATTTTCATCAGTATAAAATGCTAAACTGAATTCTTATAAAAATCTGTCGAATAGTTTCTTTTTGTACAGGTTATTTGTTATAGTCTCTTTTTTTTCAGTTGGGGCACATCATGGGGTGACAAAGGTTACATCATGATGTCCAGGAACAGGAAAAACAACTGCGGCATCGCTACCTCAGCAAGTTATCCTACAGTCTAGGGGAGAGAACTCAATTAAATAGGCATGACCAAATAGATTATTCCACACATTATAAGGGAAATAACTCAATAATTTCACTATGAAAATGAAACCAGATATCTATGTAGTAGAAGATATAAATACTATAATAAAATGTGATTATTAAAACAAACATTTATTATGTTTTTTTTATACACTTCAGAAAGCAAAAACGTACTTAGACATTAAAAAAGTATCTGTTTATAAACAGTTAACAAACACTTTTTCTGAAATATAAGCTCATGACATTAAATATATTTGAAATTGCTTTCATGCATTACGTCGAGATTTCTTGTTTGTGCTTAGAGATTCACACTCACGCTCAAAAAAAAAAAAAAAAAAAAAAAAAAAAAAAAAAAAAAAAAAAAGTGACTTATTGAGTTTTAAAATAAAACACGTTTTCACACTATGCCAAGTGGATTATCAAAACTGAATAAGTTGTTGGTGTCCTCTATCAAGAACAAAGTCTATCAAACACAATTATAAACTCATTTTTGGATTTGTATAACAAAACTTAGTTTATAAACAAAGGAGGGTTAGATACACTTCACAATCCCCCCTCACTCGAACCCCGTGTACATTCAAAATGTCCATCACCATACGCTACATGGCGACGACGAGCTTCGGTATATATTATTATTATCGGGATGTCGTTAAATAAAGGTTGCAGTTTACCATATACAGGGGTACCTCTAGATACGAGTCTAAACCGTTTCATAACATTGCTCGTTTTGTCAAATTTCTCGTATCTCAAGGCAATATATATATATATATATATATATATATATATATATATATATATATATATATATATATATATATATATATATATATATATATATATTCACCTGTCCGTGAATTTAATTCAATTAGAAGTAAAATACACAGCTACTTTCCAATCTATATTGAAACGAACGTGCTCGATACAGAAAGAAAAAAAACAACTTCCGTCACGCATCATTAGGCAGGTGATCGTCTCCTCCTTCTTCATGACCCAGGGGGTGGGGCGAGGGGAGGGGATGAGAGGGGGGAACAGGTCCAGGTATTGATGTCGTCTTGATCAGGTCACGATTCTCTACCTGTTTGTGTGTGTGTCTGTGTGTGTGTCTCGTCACACGATTTTAGTCCTCACTTTTATGACTCAAGAAGAAAATCTGTAAAACTACGTCATGTTGATGTAAACACACACAATAAAGAAAGATAATGTGAAGATATTACTTTACCTAAATAAATCAAAGGACTTTATCGAGTTAATCTCTTTCTTCCAGGTAAGTTTTAGCATGATAAAAAAATTATTAAACAAATTCGTCATAATTTGCTAATTTATTTTAATTAGTCATACTTTTAGACGAACTGTAGTTTTCCTTAAACATTTTTACATTTTAAATTAGATCAAAGATATTCTTTATAAAAAATAAAATCACTACCTGCATAACTAGATTTGTTTAAATTGATTTAATTTTTTTTATTAATGTATTGTAATTCATTTTCTATGCTACTCGGTGTCGTTAACAATGAGAAAATAATTCCGCCCAGAACATAAGAAAAGATTCTAACACTTGCTCTCTAAAGGTTCACGAGAGTTTGTGCTGTCCCTAACAGTAACTATAACCTTAATTCCAACCCTATCATTAGTTCTAAACTTCTACCCTAACGTTAATTATAACACAAACCTTAATTATAATATATATATATATATATAAATATATATATATATATATATATATATATATATATATATATATATATATATATATATATATATATATATATATATATAAATTCGAACTTCAATACAGACAAAACGTTTATCAAAAATGGTACATGCAGCTAGAAGGACAAACAATTTAATGCCGTTAATTTTAAATTCTACTAAAAAAATAATAATAATCATAATCATAATTATAATGATGATAATAATAATAATAAGGAGAAGAAGAAGAAGAATTACAATAATGATGATGCTAATAATACTACTACTAATAATAATGATATTAATAATAATAATAATATTTTTATTATTATTATTATTATTATTATTATTATTATTATTATTATTATTATTATTATTATTATTATTATTATTATTATTATTATTATTATTATTATTATTAATAGTAAAGATAAGATAAAAAATAAAAAATAAATAAAAAAATACATTATTTTATTTTAATTTACCACTATTTCTGTGTACAGAAGTTGACCCTACTTGTAATAAATTAAATAAAAAAAAAGACGTTCTTTAAAATTAGATTTTAACATAATATCAACTTTTGTCTTCTACTGGTTGGGTGTTTAACAAGTTCCACAGTTCTGTTCGCTTCTTCCGGCTCTAGCACTGCAGTGTCCAGTGCCAGTGACGTCATGATGTCCACTACAAGGACACTGGTCAACTCCACACAGACGGCTGTTAATGTCACGTCCACAACCACAGAGTCAACCACACCCACATCCTCGACCACAACTACAACAACAACATCAACTACAAGTAAGTACTGTCATCCATGAATGAAGTAGGAACGCAGAAAAAAAGGGGGATAATTTTGTGTACCATTATGCTAATGTAAGGCTTATTTGTTTATAATATATATGTGAGATAATTTTTTTAATATAAAAAGTAAAAGCGTAAATTTTAACTTCCAGATAATATAGGGTGTAGTTCTATCATAAAGAGGATATGGGACAGTGCAGTTCTATGATACAAGGGATATAGTACGGTGTAGTTCTACGATAAACGGAATATGGGGCTGTGTAGTTCTATGATAAATGGGATATGGTACGGTGCAGTTCTATGATAAATGGGATATGGTACGGTGCAGTTCTATGATAAATGGGATATGGGACGGTGCAGTTCTATGATAAAGGGGATATAGGACGCTGCAATACTATGGTAAAGCGCACGACAATAAACTCTAAAGCCAAGCCATAGAATTTCCCTGAGTCCACCCAGCTCTAATTGGTACTTGACCCTGAGTTAGCTGAGTGGAAACCACTAGGCGTATGTATTGACCACACTGTCCCTTCATGTACTGAGCTCGTAAAACAGAAGGAAGAACTCTACTTCATTTGGTCTATGGACCTACAGGTTCGAAATGGTAACTGGTAGTTTGTTTTTTGTTTTTTTAAAACATGGACGGAATCATGCGTTTGTTTAGAAATATTGATTAAAATTAGCGCAAGTACTACATTGAAAGTTTAAATTACGATTAATTTTAATATAAGGATTAGGGGTTAAAAAAAATAATTAGCAAATGTATCCCCCAACACACGATGACGTCATAGGTATGTGTGTACTAGGAAGAAACGACACTCATCAATCACAAGGTGTGGGCTGGGTGTGTATGTCCCCAGGGGGAGGGGGATGACCTAAACACGTCAGTCAAATCGTACTCGGTGAGTGGTTGTCGTTGGTTGTTTAATTGAAGCGGAGGGTTAATTAAATTAGCAGAGATTTGAGGCTTCGGGTTTTATTTAAATCTTGGAGGGGGGGGGGGGTGTTTTTCTTTATTATTTGTGTAGAATCAACGTGTGTCGCAATGTTTCTTCCAGGCTTTTTTCTACGGGGGAGGGTGGACACTGTTAAAAGTGTATATTATCTATATCTTCTTCGTTCTTAATTATTAGTGTTGAAAGGGATCGAGATTTATCTGCCAGTGGGTTTGAACTCGAGACTTTGTTCGAATTTATCAACCATGAGCTTTTTGCCGACTTGACCACGCCTCCAACACAATTAAGCGTTACGTGTCAACTGGTTATGCCCACTCTCTCCCCCCCCCCCGAAAAGATGACTGATGCCTGGAATAAACTCTGGTGCTTCGTACATAAGTAACGTCACACACACAAGGTGGGGCGGGGCGGTATTTTATGAAGATGTATGACAGAGAGGGGGAAGGGGTGGTGCAGCTAACATATTGTATTTTCAAAGATCAAAAACTGTATGCGTTGTAAGCAGTGGCGTAGCCAGGATCGTCTCAAGGGGGGGGGGGTTCCAATCTTTACCCGGGGACAAACTTTCGATTTGCACCCCCCCCTCAAACTTTCGATTTGCACCCCCCCCTCAAACTTTCGATTTGCACCCCCCCCCTCAAACTTTCGATTTGCACCCCCCCTCATACTTTTTATATATACCGAGGGGTCTATTGGGGGGGGGGTTATGACCCCCCCTAACCCCCCCCCTGCCTACGCCACTGGTTGTAAGTGTAGTGGGGATGGGGAAAAGCGTGACGTCAATGATGGACACGCCCTTATTTGAAGATAATTTCATCATCTAAAAACTTTACCTCGTCGGTTATACATTAAGCTTGAATCATGTACGGCTAATTAAACTTGGCCCGCGGCATCGACAAATACGGATCTGATTTAATATTACTGTAGTACTTTAGTAAAAAAGTGTATTTTAGATTAACAGTACTCTAACTTAATGTTATGTTGATGTAAGTAAAGTAGTAAAGTTCCTTTATCAAACCTGACGGTCTATAGGGCAAGTGAATTAGAGTTCATTTGTTTCTGTGACCTCGGCATATGAAGAGATAGTGTGGTCAGCACTATGCCCAGCCGCCTTTACTTACTCTAACGTGAGTTTAAGTACCCATCAGAGTTCGAACTCGAGACTTACGGTGTAGCAGTCCAGCTCTCTAGCGCTAGGCCACTCCGTCCTCAAGGCTATATTGATGTGTGGGGTTAAATTATCGAGGTATACAGTGTTTACATTACACCGTTATGTCCAAACAAGAGTAATCTACCCCTGTTGGTCAAATGTTTGGGTACGGTAACTGAATTGGTGTTCATTTCACGTGCAGCCAACTCAACGATTGTGTCTGTTCATCTATCACACTGATCAACAATAACAGTAGCCGTAACAGTAGTTAACAAAAGGTTATAGCGACCATAACAGTAGTACCGTTATAGCGACCATAACAGTAGTCCCGTTATAGCGACCATAACAGTAGTACCGTTATAGCGACCATAACAGTAGTCCCGTTAGAGCGACCACGTTAACCAATAATTAGCCGGTAAAATCAAACACGAACCTAAAAATGCCTGGTCACAACTACCATAACAGTAGTCCCGCAACAGCAACGGCAATTCTAGTCCCGTTACAGCGATTAAGATAGTATACCGTACTATAGACCGCAACAGTGTCCTTGTTAAAGCGACCACCACAGTTGTCCTATTACATCGACTACAGCGACTAAAGTCCTATTAAATCGACTACAGCGACCAAAGTCCTATTACATCGACTACAGCGACTAAAGTCCTATTAAATCGACTACAGCGACCAAAGTCCTATTAAATCGACTACAGCGACCAAAGTCCTATTACATCGACTACAGCGACTAAAGTCCTATTAAATCGACTACAGCGACCAAAGTCCTATTAAATCGACTACAGCGACCAAAGTCCTATTACATCGACTACAGCGACTAAAGTCCTATTAAATCGACTACAGCGACCAAAGTCCTATTAAATCGACTACAGCGACCAAAGTCCTATTAAATCGACTACAGCGACCAAAGTCCTATTAAATCGACTACAGCGACCAAAGTCCTATTACATCAACTACAGCAACCAAAGTCCTATTAAATCGACTACAGCGACCAAAGTCCTATTACATCGACTACAGCGACCAAAGTCCTATTACATCGACCGCAACAAAAGTCCTATTACATCGACCACTGTAAAAGTCCTATTACATCGACTACAGCGACGAAAGTCTAATTACATCGACTACAACGACCAAAGTCCTATTACATCGACCACTGTAAAAGTCCTATTACATCGACTACAGCGACCAAAGTCCTATTAAATCGACTACAGCGACCAAAGTCCTATTACATCAACTACAGCAACCAAAGTCCTATTAAATCGACTACAGCGACCAAAGTCCTATTACATCGACTACAGCGACCAAAGTCCTATTACATCGACCGCAACAAAAGTCCTATTACATCGACCACTGTAAAAGTCCTATTACATCGACTACAGCGACGAAAGTCTAATTACATCGACTACAACGACCAAAGTCCTATTACATCGACCACTGTAAAAGTCCTATTACATCGACTACAGCGACCAAAGTCTAATTACATCGACTACAACGACCAAAGTCCTATTACATCGACCATACCAAGAGTCCTATGACATCGACCACACCAAAAGTCCTGTTACATCGACCAGTGTAATTGATCAAAGATAGACATCTAAACTCACCGAGTTTCGTTTCAGCCCCACAGCCCAGCAAATGTCCTCCTCTCAACGAGGACAACATCAGCATCACCTTCAACCACACCACCGGGGTCACCACCACGACCCCCACCCCCGGGAAACGACAGATCTACCGGCTGAGCACCAACCAGCGGACTCAGGGCACCGTGGTCAAGGCAGAATGCCCTCTCGGTGCCCGTGCTAGGAACACGGTGTTTTTAGAATGCCTGGGCACTGGGCAGTGGAACACTAGTCTGCCCTTGTGTACTGGTCAGTTTGGTTTTTCTGTGGACTGTGTGTTTAGAATTTAGTCTTTAGTGCTTACACGATGAGAGGTGTAAGGGTTAGAGGTGTAAGATATGGTGAGAGGTGTAAGATATGGTGAGAGGTGTAAGATATGGTGAGAGGTTTAAGAAGGCAGGATGGTAGTGAAAGGGAGAGGATACTATGATAAGGACAGGAAAAAGCATCATAAGGACAGGGTAAATATAGTATGATAAGGAAAGGACAATGATAGTATGATAAGAACATCGATAAAGTAAGATGATAGGGACAGGGAAAGATAGTAAGATTGGGATAGAGATAATATGACATGGAAAATATAGTATGATATGGCCAGTGATAAAGTAGGATTAATAGGGACAGGGATAATGTAGTATGAAAGATGCAGGGATAAGGTAGAATGAAAGGAACAGGAAAAAAATAGTATGGTAAGGACAGGGATAAGGGCAGATGATAGGGACAGGGATAAGGTTGGATGATAGGGATAAGTTAGGGTGATAGGGACAGCGATAAGGTTGGATAATTGGGGTAAAGATTAGGTAGGATAATTGGGGCAATGAAAAGTTATGATGAAAGGGACAGAGATAAGTTAGGATGATAGGGTCAGGAAAAAATTGTATGATAAGGACATGGAAATGATAGTACGATAGGAACATGGATATAGTAGGATAATAGGTACAGCTATAATGAAACATGATAGGGATAGGAATAAGGTAGGATGATAAGGACAGGGATAAGGTGAGATGACAGGGACAAGGATAAAGCAGGCTGACAGGAATAGGGATAATATATAATGTTAGAGTCGGGGATACGATATGACGAAATAAATATTAAGGATATTTGATGATAGGGACAAACTTTGTGTAAAGACACTTATTGAAATTATTCTCTCCCAGAATCCCACGACATTTCATCCTACAGACTTTACTTCGCCCTGGGTGGGGTCGTATGTGGCATCGCCGTTCTCGTCATCTTCTCCATCTACTGTGCTGTTGTGAGGGCGGGGCGCAGGAAGGATCTCAGGTAAACATGTGTGTAAAAAGTGTGTGTAAATTATGTGTGTAAATGGTGTGTAAATGGTGTGTTAATGGTGTGTGTAAATGCTGTGTGTACATGGTGTGTGTGAATGGTGTGTGCAAATGGTGTGTGTAAATGGTGTGTGTAAATGGTGTGTGCAAATGATGTGTGTAAATGATGTGTGTAAATGTTGTGTGTAAATGTTGTGTGTAAATGCTGTATGTAAATGCTGTGTTTAAATGATATGTGTAAATGTTATGTGTAAATGCCGTGTGTAAATGATGTATGTAAATGATGTGTTTTTACATAATGTGTGTAAATGCTGTGTGTAAATACATGTGTAAATGATGTGTGCAGATGCTTGTGTAAATGCCGTGTGTAAATGATGTGTGTATATGCCGTGTGTATATGATGTGTGTAAATGATGTGTGTAAATGATGTATGTAAATGTTGTGTGTAAATGCCGTGTGTTTACACTGCGTGTTTCTTATCTTATTTACACGGACACGTGTGTGTTTTGACTTTCTGTTTAGAATTTACACAGTGTTTTTATAATGTGTTTACTCCTTAAGTTTACCGTCTGTTTACCTTTGTACTTTTCTATCCGATTACCATTGGGGTTAAAATGTGTTTACGTTTACTTTTATCAACGTTTACATTTGTTTTTACCCGTGTGTATCTTTATTATACATATTTGTCTTTCTGTTAAGTGTTTACATTGTGTGTGTTCTAACGCTATTTTCCCTATGTTTAAGAACATTGAAGCTTGTATACGTTCAGGTTTACGGCAAGGCCTGTTAACAGAGCTTATGACCTCCAATTCTAAAGGACTAGAGTTCGAACCCGCTACCAGATAAGTCTTGCTAACTGGGGACAGCAATGAAACTAAGAGAGATAACTCTAAAATCAAACAAATGCTTTCTTTCCGATTGTTCATTTGTGGAAAAAAAAGGATATGGAGGCAAATCCATAAAAAAAAGGATGCTGAAATCGTATTCAACGGACACTATTGCGCATAACATGTTAACATGTAATACTTAATTTTATTGCAGAAAATCCCTTTTGTATTTCAATTAATAACGAAAAAAAAATTATGCCCTTAGAAATTTATATTTAAAAAAATTATTTTGTTGACAGCGCTTTGTCAGAGGCCAGCCAGACAACAGAGAGGTCAAACTATGTTGACCCCTACTATGTGGGCAACAGACTGTACGGGTCAACAAACGAAACAAGCGACAGCGAGATTACATACGCCAAGCCGGTGGTGTTTAGGTAGGTAAAGTTAAGATTTTAGGTGGGTAAAGTACTGCAGGGTAAAGTTACGTTTTTAGGTGAGTAAAGTTAAGTTTTTAGGTGGGTAAAGTACTGCAGGGTAAAGTTAAGTTTTTTGGTGAGTAAAGTTAAGTTTTTAGGTGGGTAAAGTACTGCAGGGTAAAGTTAAGTTTTTTGGTGAGTAAAGTTAAGTTTTTAGGTGGGTAAAGTTAAGTTTTTAGGTGGGGTAAAGTTAAGTTTTTAGGTGGGTAAAGTTAAGTTTTTAGGTGGGTAAAGTTAAGATTTTAGGTGGGTAAAGTTAAGTTTTTAGGTGGGTAAAGTTAAGTTTTTAGGTGGGTAAAGTTAAGTTTTTAGGTGGGTAAAGTTAAGTTTTTAGGTAGGTAAAGTTTGGTAAGTAAAGTTAAGTTTTTAGGTGGGTAAAGTTAAGTTTTTAGGTGTGTAAAGTTAAGTTTTTAGGTGGGTAAAGTTAAGTTTTTAGGTGGGTAAAGTTAAGTTTTTAGGTAGGTAAAGTTTGGTAAGTAAAGTTAAGTTTTTGGTAGGATGCGGCTACTCGTAGTTCACTACAAATAGCCCTATGGAGACAGTTTTATGTGATTCTTAAATTCCCCTATTTATCTAATATTAATGAAATGTAAAACTAGCTTTTAGGTCTAATCTTATCACTAACACTAAACCCTAACCCTAATACCTAAACCTAATGCCCAATCCTAATGCCTAACCCTAAACCCTCTAAACCTACCCCGTTTGTTGGGTAAATCTATGTCTGTTGTGTAAAGTAAATTTTTTAGTCAGCGTCTTGGTAAAGTTTAGATTCTTAGGTAAAGTGTTCTGTTAAGTTAAGTTAGGGAACGGCGTGACTTGGATGTTGAGTGCTAGAGTACTAACCTGAAAGTACCGAGTTCGAATCCGGGTTCATTTTTCCACTCAGCTCTGATGAGTACCTAACTCGCGTTAGGGAAAATAACGGCGGCTGTGCCCACTATCCTGAATATTCCTATCGTTAATTAAAACGAAAACTGAATCCATTTATCATTTCTGTTAACAGTTGAACGAATAAAGATGGCACTTTCCTATAACCGGGGTTCCGTTAAAAAGACCCACATGGACGAAATGCCAACGTACCATAACTCGACATAATGCCGACAACCAAAAGGCCGATACCCAAAAAGCCGATTCTCTAAAGACTTACTAGATATAACGCAGATATGAATATCAGGCCTTTGTCGGCCATTTGCCCATGTCGGCCTTTTAGCTGTCGGAATTTTGTCCGACATCTCTCTACTCCAATCGTTTGTATCTTCTCGCCAGCACCTACCTGAACCCCTCCTTCTATGAAGACGCCTATGACAGATGGAAAAAACAAGAGCAGACAAACTCGGAAAAATTTTACGACGTGCCCTGGGCTCAACAGTAAGTGTTTACAAATTACTTCCCTTGTAATATAGGTTTTTAGAAATTACCGTCCCCTTGTAAGTTTTACAGACTTACTTTTCTTTTTTGTGTAAGTTTTCACAAATTAAATCCTCCTTGTATATTTTTACAAATTATATTCTCCTTGTAATTTTTCATATATTACCTTCTCTTTGTAAATTTTTTTTTTTTGCAAATTACCTTCTCCTTGTAAGCAGTTAGACATTGGTTTGACTTTTAATGAATTGTTTGACAGTTAGTGAATTGTTTGACATTTAGTGAATTGTTTGACATGTAATGAATTGTTTGACATTTAGTGAATTGTTTGACATTTAGTGAATTGTTTGACATGTAATGAATTGTTTGACATTTAGTGAATTGTTTGACATTTAGTGAATTGTTTGACATTTAATGAATTGTTTGACATTTAGTGAATTGTTTGACATTTAGTGAATTGTTTGACATTTAGTGAATTGTTTTACTTTTGCTTGACCTTGCAATAAATTAGTTGGACATTTAGTTTTGGTATTTTGGTTGACCTTGTAAGTAGATGATCGGATACCTGCTAGACTTTGTATGCTTTGGTCATTTGCTTGGCTATGGTCTTATAGTTAGATGGTTAGACAAGTGGCTGACCTTGACATTAAATAGTCACACAAAGTTGATCTAAAATGGTTTTTTTAAATATTTTATGTAACATACTATGATCATCGATGTTACAACAATACAATTTTGTTTTAGAGGTTAAGGTTTTATCTCTTATATTGATCCACATAACACAATATTCTTTTTAATCTCCTCTAGGCGAAGTTTGAACAGACAGATGGAGACGCCAGGTTTCAAGTGGAGTCAGTCGAGTCTTAAAGCCCTAGGGGAGTCAGGGTGAGACGCTGATACTGACTCATAGGTTGTAGGGGTCGCAGTTTGTATGGGATCAGTGATGTTAAGGGTCGGAGATTTTGTAAGATCGTTGATTTTTGGGGTCTAATACTTTATGAAGTCGATGATTGTAGGAGTTAAAGATTGTGGGGGTCGAAGGTTGTTTTTTTCGAATCGCTGATTGTAGGGGTGGAGGTCATGTGATCAAGTAATTTAGGGCTCAATTTTTAAATAGCAGCAATGATTTTTGGGGGGATCAGAGAGGGCATTGGATCAATCAATGATTGTAAGGGTTAAAGATTGCAGGAGATCATTGATTGATTGATTGATTCGAAGAGTGATTTTAGTGCAGGGATTGTTAAGTCTTTGATCGTAGGATCTGTCAGTTTATATATAATCAAAGCTATTTTGTAGTTATGATTTCAACAACAACAAACTAAAATTTGGCGCTGCTGATGAGACCAAGAGTATTTAAGTCATTTAATAATTTCCACACGGAACAAAATGTAGCTAATAAGAACGAGCTAATAATAACTTAACTAATGGCCATAGAAGGATAGCGCGTGATACCGAACTCCAAAAGTCCCAAGTTCGGACCCCGGGTAGGTGAGGTTCGTTAGCTGGAGACCGCAGCTAGGAGAGAATTTAAAAAATCAAACAACTGACCCGTTTCATATTATTCTTAGGGTGGACAAAGGCTATGGAAGCAAATCAATTAAAAAAGCAAGCTGTAGTCGGCGTCAATGGTCTCTATGGCAGAAAATATTTTGCCACGTATTGGAGAAAATCCCACCCAATAATACAATTAAGGATGAAGAATAAGATAATTGCATTTGAATTATAGTTTTAGAATTGCATACAAGTCAAAATGATTCAGGAGTTGTATTACTATGAAATTGATGCATTATTATTCTGTTTCAATGTTTTACATAACTTGTTTATTTTATTCCCAACAGATTTTATAAAATACCAAGAGCTCAAATATCGGACCAAACCTCCAACAAATCCGACGATTCCATAGACAAGGTATCGAATACAAAATCCCTCGATCCCTTGTCTAGAATGGCATCGGTATCGTCCGAAGAAACGCTGCATGGCGTGAAACGATACCGGCGAATGAAATCCCGGAAGTTGGCTGGGAAATCTGGCGCGCATGCGCATGACTGGTCACCGGATGATGAGAGCGACACCACGGAAGAGCTGGACGGTGACTCGTGTGTGGGGCTGACGACTCTCTAGGTTAATCCTCTTGTTGGAATGGTGACTCTAGGTTAACTACCCTCGGTTGACTGATGACTCTCTAGGTTAACTGCCCTTGTTAGACTAATGACTTTAGGTTAACTGCCCTTGTTAGACTGATGACTCTCTAGGTTAACTGCCCTTAGTGGACTGATGACTCTCTAGGTTAACTGCCCTTGTTGGACTGATGACTCTCTAGGTTAACTGCCCTTGTTCTACCGATGACTCTCTAGGTTAACTGCCCTTGGTTGGACTGATTCTCTAGGGTAACTGCCCTTGTTGGACTGACGACGCTGTAGATTTAACTCCCTTATGTCTACTGTGGATCAGTTTCTTCGAGACTTTTTCTCCTGGGGGTGCTCTTTAAATTTCCGAGGGGGGGGGGGGGGGACACTGTTAAAAGTATATATTTCCTATATAGTTCCATTTCGGTAGACTTTCTTCGGGGGGGGGGGGGGGGGAGGGGCGAAGAGATGCCTGGAATAAACTCTGCTTTGGATGCTGTAGGTTACCTCCCCTTGGTGGACTAACGACCCTTTAGAGTAACTCCCCTTGGTAGACACACAACGATCTAGATTAACTCCCTGGTGGATTGACGAAGCTTTATGTTCACTCCCCTTGTACAATTGACGACCCCTAGATTTATCTCCCTTAGCTGACTAACGACGCCCTAGATTAACTCCCCTCAATGTTTTTTAATTGTAAATAATGATAAACTCGACCACAAAACAAATAAACAAACACAATGCGATGTACATTAAAACTTATATGACGTCTTTAAACTAACGATGAAACAATGAATAACATACATACGATGCTAAACTTGTTACCTATACAAAATTAAGTAATTTCTACATTCAATAAAATGATAATTGTATGTAATATGTCTGTATTTAATCGTTTTCTAAGCCAAACTTTCACCAGTTCTGATGGCTACATGTAAAGCGTTATTATATCAATATTATAATCATTTATGTACATTAAAAAACCAACTTGTCTTATAATTACATACAGTTCAAGTTAAACTCAACTGTTATACTCTGTAGTATATTTTTAGCTTTTTATGATGGGAAAATGTCAGTTCGTATAATGTCATTGATTCCACCCAGCTCTTATGGGTACCTTACTTAACGTTGGGGAAATAAAGGCGGCCGGGCAAAGTGCTGACCACACGATCTCTTCATATGCCGAGGTCACAGAAACAAGTGAACTCTACTTCATATGACCCATGTGTTTTTGGGCACAAACGAGAAAATATAGTGATGATGTTAATAAGGCAGAGGATGGGACGGATTTGTCGGATAGTAAACCTTACCACTGCTTATTCAAAAGTCTCGAGTTCGAAACTCGATGATAGGAAATAAAAATAGTTTGCTTTCTCTATTTGTTTAACTCCACAGCTAAGTGAGCTGGGGGAGAAGGGGGGGGGGGGTATAGTACTGCTTTCTCATGTCAATAGACTTAGCCATATTATCATTGCAAGCTAAAGAGCCGTTGCAAAATTACCTTTTACGTTCATTCAACTATGATATGAATTATTAATAACATTTTCTAGGGATATTTTTTGTCCAAAATAAACAAGTTTGACTTAATTATATACAATACGGCTATGAGTTGATTTATATCTAAATATATCTAAAATACTTCCGTCTATGATATTAAGTCCAAGTGCTAAAATGTATGGATATCTTACATTTAGCTTTACAAATATTATTGAATACACTTCGCGGTGTCACAATCTAGGTTGGGAAAGCCATTCGAGCTAAAAATAACTACCGGCATTTATCTTATCGGAAGGGGATTCCCCTATAATGTGATCACATACGTCATCTCCGCTGTGTCAATACACAAAGCTTGTAGGTGATGTGTTCTGGGCTATATAAACAAGACGGTACGACACGCGTCGTTATGTAACAGAGTAAAAATTTGACAGATATTTGACAGATTAATACATTTGGCTGTGATCTATCATATGTGGTATGTTTTCCTTTAATCTTAGGGTATTTTTACTTGCAAATTTTTAAAATTTTTTATGAAGTTTTTAGTGATGATTTCTTTTCAATTATTTCCTAAGTAGGAATTTTATGAACAGTATGATTTTGGTTATTAAAAGTGTTGTATGCAAGGAGGGAGGGGGGGGGGGGGGGGAGAGGGCGGGATGAGGGAATTAGTGTGGGATTTAGCACCCCCCCCCCCCCAATTGAGCCTTGTCTCAAGTTAAATGACAATTTCTACAACAGGGCGCTTAGGTTGAATTTTAAAAAAAAACACTATACATTATGCAATGCAGGCCATATATATATATATATATATATATATATATATATATATATATATATATATATATATATATATATATATATATATATATATATATATATATGTATATATATATATGTATATGTATATATATATATATCGTTCAGGGTGGGAGGAGGCGGTGGACTTGCTTTCGAGTGAGGGGCGTGCTTGCTTTGGATTGAAGGAAGGTTGGGGGGGGGGAGGCACGGTGAAGCCCGCTTTTTTTACTAGTTTGCGCTCGGAAGCTTTAAGGAAAAATACTCAAACAACCTCACCTCCACCCTCGCCACAACCCCTCCTCCCCGAACATTTTCATTATCAACCCCAACCCAATTCATAATACGTCTTTACACTTCTTTCCATTATGATTTTCTGTGAGCATTTGTTACCAAGTACTAAAAAAAAAACAATTCAAATATGAAGTAAGCTATTATTATATTAACTATCTTGAGATCAAAATAATCGAAAATGGTCACGTGACCGATTGGGACAATATGATTGGATGATGAGTTAGCACTGACACTGACATTTCACGCGCTATAATTGACCAATTCACTGTCATGCCAGTCAGGTGAAAATTACACGTCCTTGAACCTTGACCTATTTATTCAGACAGAGGCTTTAGTAATCAGAGGTCAAACCGCGTAAATGTAAGTTCTTGTCAAATACCGCGCCCACATAATCCGTAGGTCTATAGTTAGTAACGCCAAAACTCCAATACCTACATTTTAAAACTCAGAGAGTTAGTTTCACCTATGTCTGACCATAGTTTCTTTCGGAAAAAAAGTGAGTTAGTTAGCAGTATTGTCAATGTTTCTTCCAGAATTTTTTCTCCTTGGGGCACTTGAAATTTTCCAGGGGGAGGGGGGAATAAAATTTTCGGGGGGCGGACACTGTTAAAAGTATATATTTTCTATATAAAATCCATTTCATTCGGAGTGTGGTAGACTTATTTTTTTTTGGGAGGGGGGGGGAGGTCTTTCCCGAAATGATGCCTGGAAGAAACTCTGAGTATTGTAATCTTAAGTTCACTTCACTGTTTCTTTCAGACGTTTTTCTCTTTTTTGAGTGGGGGTGGGAGGGGGGGGGGGGGAAAGCACCTGAAACTTTCCGAATGGGGAGTGTGTTGAAATCCACCGAGGGGGGGGGGGACGACTCTGGTAAAAGTATATATTTTCTATATGAATTATATATTTCAATCATTAGTACATGCTACTGGAATCAATGTGGTTGAGTGGTAAAGCTTATGACTAATGAGCTGAAAATCTCAAATTCGGATCCCCTGGCTTATTACGACGTCCCTGAGTCAACCCAGCTCTGGCGGGTACCTGACTCACGTTAGGGAAAGTAAAGGCGGCTGTGCATAATGCTGACCATATTATCACTTATATGTTGAGGTCACTAAAACGCGTGAACTCTACTTTACCTGCCTCATAAAATGTAAGGTTGCGAAATGGTAAGCTGCTTTTTTTTTTTTTACTTTCAACTAAGCGAAAATTGAACTCTTTAATTAAAGCCATTAGTTTTTCTTACTAACTCATTCCTAAAAGCAATATATAAGCCCATGTTGTGGTTTCGGTTTAGGCGAAAATCGTTACACATATCACCGTACGAATTATTGAGCAGGGTCAGTATATGTAACTATAGTAGTCTGATCACTTAGAGAGTAATGTTACACCCGTGTCAATGCAGCCAGTGTGTAGGGTAGCTACATGTTGGTAAACAGCTCCATTATAACACGCTATACGTTCAGATATCGTGTCACATTACGGTACAACGTGGCTAGTGTGTAGATCTACAGTGAATCTACTAGTAATATTTCCTTCAAGGGTACCATTCGGTATATATTCTCATTCGAATGTTATCGTGGTCGGCGTGGTCAAGTCGGTAAAGCTCGTGGCTGCTAACTCGAAAAGTCTCGAGGTCGAACCCTCAGGGGACAGCACCTATTCTAGGAGAGACAACTCCAAAATCAAACAACTGCTGCCTTGTAGCAGGCTAAAATCTGAGTCAACGGCGTCAATGGCGCATAACCAGTTGACACTTGTACTTAATTGTGTTCGATGCGCCATAGAACACTAACATTATGAACGAAGAAGAAACACGATCGTTGCGATTCAATATTCTAATGAATAAAATGTGTGATTGTTTTTTCTTTCTCATATACGAAGTATAGAGAAAGTATTTTAATTGGGTTAAAAAAAATCGAAATTTTTGCAAATCTCGACGTTTTACACCTCCCTGTGACAGAGAAACATAGTTTTTCAATCTTGTACGTATGTGCGTGTGTGTGTGTCTGTAAGCACGATAACTTGTGCACTGTTACAGCTTAGTTGAGGATTTTGTAGTTCTGTATCAACTTTTCAGCGATTTCCGGAAACCAGAAGTGGAAATTATTCTTTTCAACTTTTCAATAGCCTACAACTTTAGCACTGTTTCAGATAGATAAATGAAATTTAACACATAAGTACCAAATCTAATTCTCTGCCTTCTGTCAAATTGTGAGTAATTTCAGTTGAACGGAAGTAGTAATTTACGCTATTTCCGATTTCTCAAAAAAACGCATGTGAATTTATAAAGTACTAATAATATTCCGCACTATTATGCACATTTTATTTGGCTTTCACTTGGTGTGCAATTCTTTTTTTTTCTACGAGATTCTGATCTATTTTTTTTAAAGTTTAAGTAATTAAAAAGTGGATTAAAAATCATGTCTATATCCCGAGGTGCCATTCCTCGTAGTGTTATAATAGGTTATAAAGTTTAGGGGAGATCACTCCCGGTTTATTTGTACAGTAAGATAATACGAGTGTGTGAGTTTGTGTGTGTCTGTGTTACTCGAGTGTGTAAGCGTGTGTTTGTGTGTGTGTGTGTTTGTGTGTGTGTGTGGGGGGGGAGTTGGGTATTTTTGACTTCATATCGGTGATGCCAGATGCCTTAGGGCCCCACGCCCGCCCTCTGCTTCTTTTGTGTTCTTAATTCTAGTGTTGGGAGGTGATCTGCACAAGAGTTCGAACTCGAGGCTTTTCGGTTTAGAAACTATGAGTTTTACCGACTCGACCACACCGATCCCTCCCCCTTTTACTCTTCTACCTTTTCACGGAATGTCACAAAAAAAATGCGGTCCTATTTACATTTGACGTCACCTGTACCCTTATCTTTATCTCCAACTTCCGTCATTCATTTACATGCACCAAAAGCCTCCCCTCCCCACCGCGCCACTCTATATTGCATGTATAAACACAGCACGCTGTTATCCTAAGGAGTCAACCACATCCCATTCATGTTTTATTGTTATGTTGGCCATTGCAAAATACGGACGGTGGATCGGGATTCGAACCTACAACTTTCGCTTGAGCCCTTTCTTACTTGTTGTCATGCACGCCGTGTGCGGCAAAAAGAAAAAAATACAACATAAATTATTTAATTAACCTGAAACCTCTTGTCGCCAGGTCTCGTGCTAATTAGTAGTCCATTTCTAATAGATCTCATGTTCGTCACGCGTGGCCTAATTAAATCACCAATCAAGCCAATTATCAATTTGATACAATTGCCACTGTTACAAATTCATGCCACAATTTTTTTCTCGTGTTTCTATTACACCCCCGTCCCTACCCCCACGTCTTTTCCTTTCCCCTGTCCTGCTACCCCCCCCCCCCCCCCCCCCCACCCCACCCAACCCCGCCCAAGTTAAGTCCGATACAGTCCCTTATACAGATTACTAAAGTAATATATGGTCGGCTCATAACACATTATCTAGCTAAATTAAATTAGTTTCTCACATTCCGGTAAATATACAGTTTCATGATATGCTCTAATTCACACAAAAACAAAGATATTTGGGTGCTTCGACACTTGGTTAAAAATAGATGACCTAGTTTGGTCACCACGCTATAAATAGCACATCTGGGGCCGAGGCATCAGCTGAATGAATTATCACGTTTAAAGTAGAAAGTAGGAGTGGTGAAGCGAACTAATGGTACACATGTTGTCAGAAAGGGAATAAAAGAACAGAGCCCCATAAGTGAAGATTGCAGAAACGAAAGCTAAACTTTTAAACTAAGCGGGCGACAAGAACGTATGCAGATACACAGAAAGTAACATCAAGAAAGGGTCACGATTTTTAATAAGGGAAATAAAGGAACAAATCCTCAAAAGCGAAGATTGTAGAAACGAAAGCTAAACTTAAAACTAAGCGAGCGGAAAGAACATGGAGACACACAGAAAGTAACTTATCAAGAAAGTTGCCATGTTGTAATAAGTGAAATATAATAAACTAACAAAACGAAAGTGGGAGCGAAATATGTAATAAAGAAAATACTTTGAATAGAACAGAAATAGGCGAAGCAAAAAAAAAAGAAATTAAACAGTTTGACGGAGTTGAAAGAAAACTTGAAAAAAAAGCAATTTAAAAAAAAAATGTTTAATGGGAAGTTTTCTTTTTTTTAATTACTATTCCTTTTCAACTTAACTAGAGAAAATATATACATTTTTTTAAAAACATCAAAATGATTTTATTTAAAAAACAAAAACAAAGGCTGTATGAATTATACCGATGTCTGGCAATCCAGACATCTAAAAAATCTTCTAAAGAAATTGGATGTTAGGTTATTGTTATCGTGTTAAATTATTTTAGGCTATAACGTCAACTCTATCCCTAACCCAACTACTACCATGGTTATACCTGTTTTTCTGACTCTAACAAAAAAAAATCTGACACTACGCTACTTTCAAAGACCTAGCCCCACTTAGTTGCGTGACATGTTATTGTCGGACATGCAGAGGAGTAGCGAGGGGGAGGGCGGGGGGGTGCGGACCGCACCGGGTGACACCATTTAGGGGGGGGGGGGTGACACCAAGGCAAAAAATAGCAAAATATATAGAGAAAAACTTGAGGGGGGGTGTGCAAATCGAAAATTTGAAAGTTTGTCCCCGGGAAGGGTTGCTACGCCTCTAGCGGGTGACACCATTAAGTGCCACACCGAGTGACACCCGACCTCGCTACGCCACTGCGGACATGGGTTGTATAATTACCCTACCAATTTAACTCTAACATGGGACGGTGAGGTCGAATGGTAGAGCATGTGACTGTTAACCCGAACGTTTCGAGTTTGAATCCAGTTTTAAGTCAATGTTTTTGAGTCCACGCACACCTGGTAGGCACCTGACTAACTTTGGGGCTATAAATGCGGCGACGTCACAGAAACATTTGAACTCTACTCAGTGGCTTAGCGAGGGGGGGGGGGGGGTGCGGACCGCACCGGGTGACACCATTTAGGGGGTGACACCTAGGCAAAAAATAGCAAAATATATAGAGAAAAACTTGAGGGGGTGGGTGCAAATCGAAAGTTTGAGGAGGTGGGGGTGCAAATCGAAAACTTTAAAGTTTGTCCCCGGGAAGGGTCGCCACGCCTCTGGGGGGGGGGGGGGGTGACACCATCAAGTGCCGCTCCGGGTGACACCCGACCTCGCTACGCCACTGACTCTATTTCACTAACCAATGGACCAACAGGTTCGAAAAGGAACTTCATTTTTTTTTTACAACACCAACAACACCATTAAAACAAAGTTAAACCTCAGTTTTTGTTTTGAATGAGGTCGCCATACTTCACGTTTTAAAAGTATTGCATAACAGAAATGCTAGAAAAACATACCTTTTACGTAATATGTCAGAAAACTGTAACATCACCCCTACCCCCCTTTCTCAAACCCCACCCCCGTGGCTGGTATAAGCTAACGTGTTCCAGATATTTCCAGCGTCCCCCTTTCTAGCAGACGACATCGTGGTTCGCGCCATTTTTTTTCTTTGTTTACTTAGTTCAGTCAGATCTAGCAAACCAAGGGAGATAACACATTTCTTATTTTCGAGAAAAAGTTAACCTTATTGTGACAACTATTCGGAGGGAGGTGTAAGTTTGTAAACAAACAGTAAGTAGTCTAAGCATTAAGTCAAGTTTTTTTTATCTAGGTGTTGTAACGCTAGTAAAATTAAATGTAGGGATTTTAAAATATAAAACTGTAAAGCAGTTATTATTAATTCATTCAAAGAACCTTATGTAAATTAAATAAAAGAATTGAAATGATCGTAATAATCGTATAAAAATAAAATAAAATAAATTAATATATTCATTAAAAAAATCTAACGTAAATTCAAGAAATGAAATCAAAGAAATTTTATGAAAGCAGTGTTTCTTTATGACATTTTTCTGATTGGGGGGAGGGGGGGGGGGGGGGAAGAAAGCAATATCAGGGTGGGTGGACACTGGTTAAAATATATGCTTTGTATATAAATTGTATTTCGTTTAGAAGCGTGGTCGGTAGATATGCTACGGGGCCGCGGAGCAACACGAAGAGATACCTGAAAATAAACTCAGTTTCAGAGTTTCAAGTAACAGTAGGTTTAAATATAAATGCAAACTAATACTTTATCTCGCTAAGCAAATCATTGGGACTATTTATTTGTTCCTATATATATATATATACATATATATATATATATATATATATATATATATATATATATATATATATATATATATATATATATATATGAACTGTAGATAGCACACAAACAAATTTTTATAAAGCACGACTTCAATAAAATACGCATATTGTGATGTGTTTCAAAATCTGTGTGTACCCCATGTTATGTAAACAAGGGTACGACATTCTGTGCTGTGATGTGTTTCAAAAGCTGTGTGTACCCCATGTTATGTAAACAAGTGTACGACATTCAGTGCTGTGACGTGTTTCAAAATTTGTGTGTACCACATGTTATGTAAAAATAGGTGCGACACTCAGTGCTGTAATGTGTTTCAAAATGTGTGTACCCCATGTTATGTAAACAAGTGTACGACATTCAGTGCTGTGTCATTTAAGAATGAGTCAGACGGTGTAGTGCAGGAATCTAAAATAGAGGATTCCTATGTTTAGAACTAGTCAGGCGTTTCTATAATATTTTTTTTTTACCTTTAGCTCTGGTTCTAGCTAGTCAAGGACGTAACGCCCTGTCTGGCGCAACAGGTGACTTGATTCTAGGTCAGTTGTACCGGGATGTTTGGGGACAATTTGGTTAGCCGTACCACGATATAGAGTGACCGTCAGAGTTTCTTCCAGGCAACTCTTCGGGGGGGGGGGGGGGGGGGGGGGGGGGGGGGGGAAGAAAGTCTACCACCCCCCCCCCCCAACGAGATGGATTTTTACGTAGTAAACATACACTTTTACTAGTGTCAGCCCCCCCCCCCCGAAAAATGTTGACCGCCCCCCCCCCCCCCCGAAAATTTCAAGTGCCCCCCCCCCCGGAAAAAAATGCCGGAAGAAACACTGGTGACCGTGGTACTTCAGTTACATATGTCAGTTCTATTCGATTTGCCGTTTGTTTTTATTCGCATAACGAGTATCGTCATAACGATTTCTACAAAAAATGTAGGCTTATATTTTCTTTTAAAATTACGTTGAGAAGAGAAAGATAAGGCTTATATTGAAGGGTTTATTTTATGCGTGTGGGAAGATGGAAAATTAAAACTGAGAGTATAATTTGTGTTACACCAGTGTCTGATAATACCATAATAATGGAGACAGAGGCGTAGCGAGGGCGTGGCGGGGGGTGCGGGCCGCACCGGGTGACATTATAGGGAGGGAGGGGGTGACACCAATATATCTTGTTTTCCATTTCAATTAATAATTAATTAAAGTTAAATAGTCTTTTAAGTACAAATCAACAATTATAACAACAATTATAAACATCGTTAATATTATGTATGCAGTGATTAAAGCTTATAAACATACATGTACTCGTATGTGGCATATACTTAAATTATAGGCCTATGTTGGCCGATACGAACACACACACACACAAACACACACACATATATATATATATATATATATATATATATATATATATATATATATATATATATATATATATATATATATATACACACACACATATATATATATATATATATATATATATATATATATATATATATATATATATATATATATATACTTTGTTTCTTTGGGGCGGGGGGTGTCACCGCGAAGTGCCGCACCGGATGACACCCAACCTAGCGACGCCACTGGTGTGAGATAACTGGTAGTTAGCATATTTAGAAATGTGGCCTGCTGATTTCCACGCTAAATCTATCCATATCCATAACCAAAAACTAAACCAAGTCCTACCATAGCTTTAACCCTAGCTTCTGACCTTAATTCTAATTCTGCGATTTTAATACTTTTAAAAACTTAACACACCTATTTTGTTTCTATTTTAATCGTTCCTCGAAATTTAATTTTCTAACACATTTTAACCAATTATTGTACTGTTTGTTTTCAGATGACATTGTGACCCAGTGTAGGTATAACAGAGTGACCATGTCAGAGGTCATATGACAGAAGGTCAAGTGTTAGAAAGGTCACGTGATATTCCCCAAGTCACGTGATTATCATCATGTCTTACGTCAAACGCGCGAGACAACTCCTTCAAAAGGCCAAGGCCGGAAAACCGGAAGCGCTTCTGAAACTCATCAAATCTAAAAACATCAGCATCAACTGCTTATACCCAGACGGCACCACGCTCCTGACGTCTGCGGCAGAAAAATATGGGATATCCTCCATCTTGACGCTTCTCCAATCCGGAGCGGATCTCAACATCCAAAACATTCGCGGCGACACCGCGTTAATGTTGGCGTTGAGGCGACAAAAAATGGACGTGGTTAAGTTTTTAATTAACGCGGGGATTGATGTTAATTTGGTGAATCAGTCAGGCGAAACGGCGTTGAGTCTTGCGTGCAGTACCTACGGGTTGGAACAGTGCGTGTTGTTGTTGATGAAAGCCGGAGCTAAGTTGGTAGCGCAAGAGAAGTTGAATTTACATATGGAGAGGTGTATTACCATTTTATGGAGTATGGGCGCTATTAATAAGAAGGACGGCGTGGGTAAAACTGCGTTAATGTACGTTACAGAAATAGGATTGGCTAATTGTTTGGATATTTTGCTTAAAAAGAAATCGTTTGGAGGTGGGGTATCGCCTGTAAACAAAGTAGCTAATAATAAAAGCTACGTGATTGGTGAGGCTTGTAGGTTGGATGTTGATGTGAAGGATACGTTCGGGAAAACGGCGCTGATGTACGCAACTTTATGTCAGTGGGCTGATATGTTTTGTACGCAACTCATCCAAGCGGGGGCGGATATAAACGCGAAAGATTCCTTAGGAGTGAGTGTTTTAATGTACGCGATTTCCGGGAAAACCACGCAGAATTTCTGCGAAAGACTTGTTCAGTGTGTGTTGGATATCAACGCGAAAGACGAAATGGGGAGGAATATTTTATATTACGCAATTTCAAGTAAAAGATCAACCGGATTTTGCCGGTTTTTGATTCAACACGGCGTGGACGTGAACAGCCGGGATAAAGACGGGAACACGGCATTAATGTACTCGATAGCCTTGGGTCAAGCTTCAATGGAGCTGTGTGAAACCTTGCTTAGCGTGGGGGCGGAGGTCAACTTAGCGAACCACGCTAACCAGACGGCGCTGATGCTGAGCATCGTTTCCGATCACGCCGATTCCGGAGTGAGCTGGTGTTGCGATTACTGGTCCGCGTCGGAGAAATTTCGAGTCTCGTATCTTTTGCTGGAAGTAGGTTCGGATCCCGTCGTGGACATGATTCGGAAAGAATATTTGTTGAGTTTTTACATGGGGTTTAGTGATAATTTCCTGAACTGGGTGATCGAGCGAAAGCAGGTATTGCGGCTTATGGTTTGTAACGGTATCGTGCCGTCTTTTATCCAAGGGCATGAGAACTTCAACAGAAACTTTCCGACTGAGCTGTACTCACCCCTGATGTTCGCTTTACAGTCGGGTCAGGTTGACATCGTCAAGTACCTGATCGTGAACTGCTGCGTCAGTACCACCGACCTGCGGGTCATGAACTCACGCTGCCGTAAATCCATGACCAAACACAGCATGCACCTCTACAACCGGATACCCGTCGAGTCGAGAAAAGTCCTGGATGACGTCACCTCCCAGCCCTGGCCTCTGGTCAAGCTGTGTTTTGTCACGGTGTCCACCCTGATCGGGTTGCGCCCGGGGAGGGAGGAGCGACTCCGGCGCACGCGGCTCCCCAACGTCTTGCAGAGGATGCTGTTGTTTCAAGGTCCCATGGCCTACATCCCCGTCACCGACTGGCCGGACATTCCCGTCTTCTTCGACCCTGATGAGTATTCCAGAACCCCTCGGCCGCTTCCGTTAATGAATTACTGGCCGGTAGGTCATGTGTACTCCTAACCAGATCACGTGATATGTTCATTTGTATAAAGGATGTGTTGATTTTATTATAAAATGTACAAGGCAATTTCCTTAATGGCAAAATATTTAGAAAAAAATAACGTACTGTTTAGTAAGGTGCTCTTATGTTTGCTACGAACAATTTATTGTTTTCATTACAGTTTATATGAAAAACAATTTGTATAAAGGATGTGTTGATTTTATTATAAAATGTACAAGGCAATCTCTTTAATGGCAAAATATTTAGAATAAATAACGTACTGTTTAGTAAGGTACTCTTATGGTTGCTACGAATATTATATTGTTTTCATTACAGTTTATATGAAAAACAATTTGTATAAAGGATGTGTTGATTTTATTATAAAATCTACACCGCAATCTCTTTAATGGCAAAATATTTAGAAAAAAAAAATTAACGTACTGATTAGTAAGGTCCTGTTATGGTTCCTACGAATAATATATTGTTTTCATTACCGTTTATTTGAAAAAAAAACCTGATATGGTATGTTCATAAATGTGTATAAAGTATGTTGATTGTATTTTAAATCTCCATGGCAATCTCTTTAATGGCAAAAAAGCAACTAAAAAAACTAAAATAAAAAAATAAATAAATTAATAAATTTAAAAAAAACATAAAAAAAGATGAAAAAATAAATTAAATTAAATTTAAAAAAAATAAAAATATGTAAAAAATAAAAGAATAATGTACTTTATAGTAGCATCCTCTTCTGGTAGCTACGAACTTTATATTGTGTTCACAACTGTGTTTATTATCAGCATTTCATTTTTTACCCTATTGTTCACATTAGCCGTAGACATGTTTTTGTTTGGTTTCTAGTCTATGTCTGTCAACTAGTCTTTGTTTCATCATCGCATTCATGGCACTGGTGTAAAAATAAATATAACACATGAGCAGTATACAATTTGAGTTAGTGTGTCTTGATTATGTAAAGTGGACTTTACAGAGTTCATGTTGCAACCCCGAGTCAGTTCAGAGGTTTTGAACTCGAGACTTTTGGGTTAGCAGCCGAGCATGCTCTACCCTTCGACCAGTCCGTACCATACTGTGCCTTCACATTAATGAAGAGGGTATCATAATGGTTTGTTGGTGGATTAATGATATAGTTATTTGCTGTTGTAGATTGTGTTTTTAATATATGTAGATCGACTGTTCAAATAGTATTCTCTTTAATATATCTACATATATTTACACACACACACACACACACGCACACGCACACGCACACACACACATATATATATATATATATATATATATATATATATATATATATATATATATATATACATATATATATTATATGTATATATATATATACATACATATAATAGGACATTATCTCCTGCTCATAGCTTAAGGTTCAGCTAGGGTTAGAGCTAGGCTTTGAGTTTGGTCTAGGTCTAGGAATAGGTCTAGGGTTAGCGTTAGGGTTAGGGCTAGAGCTAGGGCTAAGGTAAGGGTTAGGGTTTGGGTTAGGTTTAGGGTTAGGCTTAAATCAATGCCTAGAGTTGGGTTTGGTTTTAGCTTAATGTTAGGGTGAGGTGAATTCTTAGGTTTTTCGTCTTTGTCTTAAGGTTATGATTAAGGTAATACATAAGTGGATGAGGGGGGAAGGCAGGGGGGTAATTACTTGGGTGGTAATGTCCTGTAGCCGTTACTCTTATATAGTGGGATTACGTAGACTAATGTTTGCCTTTCTCAAGTAAAACATGATATGACGTAAAGTCTTGACTAGACTTATTCCTTTGTGGCCCCTGGGGAGCGAAGGGCTGCAATCACACCACTCCACCGGGCTCAATTTTAGGCACTTCTCCTAATCTGACCAGTGACCTTTGCCTTTTCTTCTACGGTTCTTTTCCATGATTTTCTAGGCCGGCCCACCTTCCCCCTTTTCTGGGGATTCCAGTCCAAAGCTTTCCTTAACAAGTTAAGGTTAGGGATAATTTAAGATGAAGTTTTAAAGTTTCCTGTTCGATTTAGTTTAGGAGATTAGCTTTACAACAAAAACGCTTGACGAATTTATTTACTTTTAATGCTATTGTAAAATGACAACTAATTTTACACAGACGAACAGGATGTCAGAACTAAGTTTTTTCTGCTCCGGAAGATTATAAATAGTCAAATTTGTTTTAAAATATCGATTTAGTTTTTGCACGATTTCAATGCTTCCTTTATATTCCGTATTTCATACAGTTGGAGAAATGTAAAACGGTGAAAACAATTAAATTTTTTAAAAACTTTCAGCACAATTACAATACATTCTTTGTACTCTGTGTATGAAAAAGTAAAAATCAGTTACTGCGTGGTTGGACGTTACAGCGCATGACTGTTAACCTGAATGTCTCGGGTTCGGATCCCGGGCTTGATTCTGTGTTAACAGAAACAGGTGAACTCTACTTCTTATGTGACATGGTCTCATGTTAAGACAAGCATTCAAATGTCGAGGCCAAGAAACATATGAACTCTACTTCACCTGCCCAATGGATCGATAGGTCTGAAGAGGATTCTGTACTTTTACTTCATGGATCGTTTAGTTAGCTACGGTACTTTAAAAAGAGAAATACGATACACGTGTTTATACTGTGAAAATCACACACAAAATAATACACTCTGTAAACACAATCCCCCGCACACATACATTTCCTGGTCAACACACACACACGCAAATAACAAAAAAATGTCATCAGGCTACATAATGTTTATTAGCTGCGCATTCGCTTTCTTTGAACATGTGTAAAGCTGCTTTATAACTAAATTCAAATTTACAAACTTAAATCTTCATTACGTTTAAAGATAATCAAAGTTGTTAAAGAAATTATCGTTGTTGTGCATTGAAGCAGGGAAATCTAATTTTAGATCAACCAGGTCATCCGACAGACCTATATTTAGCTCATTGGTTGAACACGTGACACTAGGAGGCGGAGAGGAAATACGTTGTAGGTCAAGGTTGGTGGATGAAGCGTCGGGTGGGTACGTCGTACAGAAATGGTCTAAAATGGGGTTAACAGTTGCGTGCAGACTAGTCAGGTGACTGTCTAAAGACGGCTCTGTGCAGGATTCTGGAGTGGAATTGAACTCTGGACCTTGGCGTGATGCTCTGTAGCCTAGAGTTGGGGTCTTGAGCGAGTTTAGTTTTTTAGGCTGTGTTAATGTAATGCTCTTCGGAGTTTGTTTAGAGCCGGATTTTATTAGAGAAGGTCTATTTTTGTTTGAGAAAGTTGATCTCACCCAGGAATGTTCCAGAATTGTAGTCTTTTCTTTATTTTCAGGGCATGGATAAGCCTCCGCAATTTTTGAAGTTTGTGTTTGGTTCTCGTTTGTTTGGTGTATATCTCCAGACATGACTGATCTTTGGTTATTTAATTGATTTCTGATAGCGCTGTAGGCATAGGGTGATCCAGAAAAGTTGGTCGTGTCATTTTGACGCGTTTTTACACAATTACTTAATCCCATTTGTGGTGTGGCGTAAACTCCAGATTCCGATGCCGGAAAAAATGTCTGGGAATTCCAAACTTGCGCGTTTTCCGCGTCTCGGCTGTAGTTTTGCAGACCAGCTGAAGATTCTGATGGTGCGGGGTGGGCGTGTCTCTGGGAGGGGGTGAGGATTATCCCATGGTTTCCAGAGTTGTAGAAACTCTGAAGTGTTGACCTCACAGATTTCGGACCGCTGCTGTTGTTGCTTTCTTCACTGGGCAGACACATGACATCTTCCTGGTCAAACTCCGCACTTATGGAGTCGGTCACGTGGGAACTATTTTTAGAAATTTCAACATAATTCGCATTTTCTTCGCGTATTTCCGTATTCCCGTTTTTCATTTCATTTTGGCGTGTGAAGGGATGTACTGATGAGTCAAAATGGTTAAGATTTTTAGAATTTGAATTGCTAATAGATTCCTTTTTCTCTGTAGATTGGTCGAATGCTGGGAAGAAAAAGGAGTCGTCGGCTGAAACGATTTCTTCTATTAGCTTGTCCAGGCCCTCGTTGAATATCTCAGTGGGTTCACGAGAGTTTGGGGATGCTTGATTTGGTGCCGTTAAACTCTGGAACACCTGGGTCTGTTTGGGTGACGAATGAAATACAGGTGAGGCTGCAGGTGTGTTGTGAAACACCTGTGAGAATGCAGGTGGTGTGTGAAACACCTGCGAGGATGCAGGTGAGGTTTGAAACACCTGTGAAGATTCAGGTTGTGTGTGAAACACCTGCAAGGATGCAGTGGAGGTTTGAAACACCTGTGAAGATTCAGGTTGTGTGTGAAACACCTGTGAGAATGCAGGTGAGGTTTGAAACAGCTGTGAAGATTCAGGTTGTGTGTGAAACACCTGCGAGGATGCAGTGGAGGTTTGAAACACCTGTGAAGATTCAGGTTGTGTGTGAAACACCTGTGAGAATGCAGGTGAGGTTTGAAACACCTCTGAGGACGAAGGTATAGTGTGAAACTCCTGCATGGATTCAGGTGAAACCACACCTGTCAGGTGAGATCCAGAGTCTAGAAGCTTCGAACTAGCAGAGCTTGCTGTGTTAGATAACGAAGAAGAAGAGTCACTATCTGGTGGGGTAAATGGTGACACCGATGGTGGTGATACTGTTGGTGCTAAAGGTGACACGGTATAATTTGACACTGCTGAAGGTGACACTGTTGATGGTGACATCAATGAAGACGAAATATGGGAGGATAATCCTTCTGGTAACTCAAAATCAATAAAGTTTTGAATATCCACATAGGGTGACGGACCTTGTCTGTCTGGTATATCGTCTGTGGGGAAAGTATTCAAGGAATGATCTTCATAAAGATCTTGAAGATCTGTAGAATTTGTTTTGGAAATTTCATCTATAGATTCTGACAAAATGAAGCCATCACTCTCAGGAATATTTTTTACCAAAGTGGATTCGAGTTCTTTGGTTGGCGTTAGTTTGAACCTCTTTCTACTTTTTGTCTTGCTCTCTGTTAGAAGGTTATGATGTGAGTTATCTTCAATCTGCAGAACGCTGGGATAATGAGGTGGCGAAGGTTGGTTTAGGCGATGAAAAGATTCGACTGAGGAGGTTTCAGTTGGCGATGAAGACATAACAGCATGTACTGATCCTGGGGAGGATTTGAAACATACCGGACGTGTCGTCATCTTTGAGCTAAACTGACCTTCACCTACGACTGGGGTCAGCATGGAGTGAAAGGAAGTCGTGATTGTGAATGTTCTACTCGGGGATGAAACCGTCGGGTAAACTTTGACCTCGCTTGTCACGGTATTCGGCGAGACACGAAAATCTGAATGAGGCGGGTTTGAACTCTTGACCTCCGTCTTTGACATTCGAACCGTGGCGATGACGTCATCGGGAGACGACCGTTTCCGCTTGAGCTGGTTGTCTGCCAGAGTTGGCATTTTCAGGCCGGTAGTGGTCAGGTCAAAGTCCAGTTCCTGGCACTTCATCTTTCTGTAGTCCTGCCTCTCTCTAGACAGCACGCATTTGGCTTCTTCTTTGCTGGAATAAAAAGTTGGAGAAGATTTTAGTTAAAGAGGGTGGAAATGAATACATGGTATCAAAAATTAAGTATAGTTTAAATCTTGACGGTACATGTAGCACATATATGTAGCACACACAAGTAGCACACACAAGTACCAAAAACATGTAGAACACATGTACCACACACATGTAGAGTACATGTACCACACACATGTAGAACACATGTAGCACAAAAATGTAGCACACATATGTAGCACACACATGTAGCACACGCATTTAGCACACAATGTAGCACACAATGAACGGCGTGGTTGGGTGGTAGCATAAATGGCCGCTAACCCGAAAATCCTGAGTTCGCTCTTAACAATCAGACAGATTAAGGCAATGCTGAGTTGAGCGAAGGCAACTATCTAGGAGAGAAAACTGAAACAAAACAATCTAGCAGATTTTCCCGTGTCTAGAAAGTAGATGCAGAAATATTGGAAGACCATTAGCACTAATGTGGGTCTTGTTTGACTTCATCTAATATTACAATGTTACGAACGAAGTAGAGGAAGAAGAAAGGTCAACGACTTAGCATTTCCATGATATAATAGGATGGTCAAGACAAGATTTGTTGAAAATCTGATCATTTGATACGTGTTTAGGTAATAAGCATTACAGGGAAAATAAGAAGTCATGATTTGTGACCTCAGCTAACAAAATTGATGGCAGGTCCTAATAAAAGTTAATTGTCAAGATTTGAATCCGGTATTCATTATAACTGAGTTGACTCAAGAACTACCTTCCTGAGGTACCTGAAACTGAAAGTTTTGGAAATGTCATGACCTTCCTTACAATAGACGTCTTACAAATGATATGCTTCAAAGTATTACAAATGGCATACCTGACGATGAACGTCTTACATATGACCTACCTCCAAATGTTACAAATGACCTACCTGACAATAAAAGTCTTACAAATGACCTACCTGACAATAAAAGTCTTACAAATGACCTACCTGACAAGAAAAGTCTTACAAATGACCTACCTGACGATAAAAGTCTTACAAATGACCTATCTGACAATGAAGGTCTTAAAAATGACCTATCTGACATTGGTAGTCTTACAAATTATCTACGTTGCAATGAAAGTCTTACAAATAACCTACCTCAAAGTCTTACAAATGACCTACATGACGATAAAAGTCTTACAAATGACCTACATGACGATAAAAGTCTTACACATGACCTATCTGACATTGAAAGTCTTACAAATGACCTACCCTTAAATCTTACAAATGACCTACCCTTAAATCTTACAAATGACCTACCTGAAGATAAAAGTCTTACTTATGGCCTACCTCAAAGTCTTACAAATGACCTACTTGGCAATAAAAGTCTTACCAATGACCTACCAGCACGTATTTCGAGTGACCTACTGACGATGAAGGTCTTACAAATGACCTACCTGCACGTCTTACAAATGACCTACGTTACAATGAAAGTCTTACCAATGACCTACCAGCACGTATTTCGAGTGACCTACTGACGATGAAGGTCTTACAAATGACCTACCTGCACGTCTTACAAATGACCTACGTTACAATGAAAGTCTTACCAATGACCTACCTGCACGTCTTACAACTGACCTACCTGACGATGAAGGTCTTACAAATGACGTACTGGGGCGTACCGTGCCTGTCGTACGACACGGTACACTGGGACAGACCCCAGACCCACGACCCCGCCCGGGTCAACATCCGGTAGTAGCCAGAGTCGTCCGACCCACGGGATATCACTGTGGAGGGGGTCAAGACAACACGAATGGGTCAGTAGCATGGCGAAGAATAGGTGAAGTAGAGTTTATGTGATTATTTACACACTTACACATTAATTGTTCAGTTCTAATGAACAAAATAGAGTAGATAAAACAGAGTAGATCTGACTATACAATCGTGTTTTTTTTTTATTTTATAGCCTTGTGTACAGCGATCTGTTACAAGTTTCAAGTACACGACGTGTACGTAATATAATAGGTGAGGTAGAGTTGATCTATCAAAACACACAACCTTACGACACATTTAAAGGGACGTCCATATATGAAGACAATTAAGCAAGTCAAAGCTAGGTGCTTCGGTGTAGGGCAAGGATTAGGTGAATGGATATCTATACATTTGATTCATAATCAATATATTGACAATATATTTACCTAATCTCAATATCTGGGTTTATATTATGACAATTTAAAAATAAAAATCTCGAAATATAAACGCAAATAAACCCCCTGGACATAAACCAAACGACATATTATTATATTCTCGGGGCATAACCCCTCCCCTCCCCTGGACTATAACCTCAGATTGAGGTTTATATAAAAAAATACTGACATTGATAAAAACAACAAAATTATGAAGAAAAAAAACAAACGTAAGAAAAGAAACAATTTAATAATGAATTTAAAATGTATGCGCAGGGAGGTGGGGGGGTCATTGATAAAGAGCTGCTTATTTTAGAAATTAAAAAAAAAGAAAAGAAAAATCGAATATTCCATACAAGAATAACCAAAAGCGAAGTCTAAGTGTAAGTGACTTCAACTAAAATGTAAGTGTAAGCGATGACTCACAGTGCCTGTGGTTGTAGAGACACATCAGGGCATCACATGGGTGCTTCAAGCTGAAGCCGTCAGTACCGATGAGATCAGAGGGGTTGTATCCCAGTAGGTCGTGGATTCTACAGTAACAGGACAGAATGAGTTACAATATGTCTGTGTGTATATATGTATATATATATACATACATACATATGTATATATATATATATATATATATATATATATATATATATATATATATATATATATATATATATATATATATATATGTATGTATGTATGTATGTATATATATATACACACACCCATATGCATATACATATATATATATATATATATATATATATATATATATATATATATATATATATATATATATATATATATATATATATATGTATGTATGTATATAAACATTACAAAACTTACAAAAGATATTTGCGTATTTAGCAGTGTTTCATGATGGGCCAAACTGGATAAAAAAAAACCTCGTATTCTATTACACTCATAAACAGAAGTTTGGTCGAAAATTGAAAGAAACTGCATTGTGTAAATTTAAAGTAACAATTCAAAATTGATAAATAGTATCCATGTGGTAAAGAAAAGCTGAAAACAGCAGCTTTATTGCTCTGGTATCTTTCTGCTACTTTAGCTGGGTAAAGTATAGACGTAATGATTTTCGTCAATGGATAAAGAATGATAAAGACATTAGAGCAATTGGTGACCATGAAATTAAAAACGTAAGACTAAATGAACGTGCTTTTTTGTTAAAAGGAAGACATAGAACAGTCTAGATAATCAGCTGTAGAATGCTGGCTTTTAAGCATACATGAACCTTAATTATAAAAAATAAAATAAAAATGTAATATAGATAGGCACTCTTGTAGTTTATTTTAAAATCAGAACAACATACGGCATTGCTTTTATCTTTTAGAAATTGATAGTCTCTTACACATTTAAACACGCGACCGTGATGATCTTAAGAACAAAATCTTTTTTTTTTAACAGTTGAACGTCTAATCTAGATGTTTCAGAAATCGGACAAAATCTGATAGTTTAAAAAAATTGGAGCGTCTGACACAGATGTTTAATTCAGACAAAATGTGATCGTTTATACAATCTAAACTTCTAATCTTGATGTTTTAGAAATGGGACAAAATCTGATTGGTTAGAAAATTAAAACGCTTGACCTAGAAGTTTCAAAAGGGAAATAAACCGGGAGTGATCTCCCCTAAACTTTCTCGAATATTCTTATATAACTTGAAATATAGACATGATTTTAAAAATAGAATAGAATCTCATAGAAAAAGAATTGCGCACCAAGCGAACGCCAAAACAAAATGTACATAATAGTGTGCAATATTATTAGTACTTTATAAATTTACATGCGTTTTTTTAAAAATCGAAAATAACGTAAATTAGTACTTCTGGTCAACGGAAATTACTCAAAATTTGACGAAAGGCAGAAAATTAGATCTTTTACTTACAAGTGAAATTTCATTTATCTATCTGAAATAGTACTCAAGTTATAGGCTTTTGAAAAATTCAAAGTAGAAAAAGTACCACTTCCGGTTATCGGAAATCGCTCAAAAGTTGATCAGGATCTACGATTTTGATAAAATACTTATATATGAAATTTCATCGACCTAGCTGTAACGGTACTCAAGTTATCGTGTTTACACACGGACAGACAGACACACAGACATACGGACAAGATTGCAAAATTATGTTTTTCCGTATCAGTGAGGTGTAAAACGTCGAGATTTGTAAAAATCTCGATTTTTTTTTTTGCACGATTACAAGACTTTCTCTACACGAGAAAGTAAAAATATTATTGGTTATATAGGCTAATTCAAACGTCTATGCTAGAAGTTTGAAAAGGGAAAAAGTCTGATTGATTATGACCTAGAAGTTTCAAAAAGGAAAAAATAAACCTGATTGGTTATAAAATTCAAACGTCTAACCTAGACGTTTCAAAAGGGAAAAAGTCTGATTGATTATGACCTAGAAGTTTCAAAAGAAAAAAAAAATCTGATTGGTTCTAAAATTCAAACGGCTGACCTTGCGTCGCAGTAGACGACCTTGTAGTCGAGGGCGTGTCTGGTGATGAACATGTTCTGGTCAGTCTGGATGCCGGTGACCATGTTGTTGCGTATGGGGCAGCAGACGGACAGCAGCTGTTTGACCTTGACCTGACCCGTAGCACGGTCACGGTACAGGCTGAGTTTGACGTTCCATTGGAAGAGCTGAGATAGAGAGGTGGAGAGGTGATGAGATAATGAGGTAGAGAGGTAGTGAGGTAATTAGGTGGGGGGAAAAAGGTGATGAGGTAATGAGGTAATGAGGTAATGAGGTGAAGAGGTAATGAGGTGAAGAGGTGAAGAGGTGAAGAGGTAATGAGGTAATGTGATGTGGGGATGAGTTGGGAAGGTAAAGATGTAAATATGTGATGAGTGGATGAGCTGGGGAGATAATGAAGTAAGCAGGTGATTAGGTGAGAAGGTAATACGGGGATGATGTCGATGATGTTGTAGCTGATGAGGTAGCTGATGAGGTAGCTGATGAGGTAGATGATGAGGTAGCTGATGAGGTAGCTGATGAGATAGCTGATGAGGTAGCTGATGAGGTAGCGGATGAGGTAGCTGATGAGGTAGCTGATGAGGTAGCGGATGAGATAGCTGATGAGGTAGCGGATGAGATAGCTGATGAGGTAGCTGATGAGGTAGCTGGTGAGGTAGGTGATGAGGTACATAGGTGATGAAGGAGGTTTTGATGTACAATTGTAATGACGTAGGTGATGAGGGACAGTGGTGATGAAGGAGGTTTTGATGTACAATTGTAATGACGTAGGTGATGAGGGACAGTGGTGATGAAGGAGGTTTTGATGTACAATTGTAATGACGTAGGGGATGAGGGACAGGGGTGATGAGGTCGGTAATGAGGTAAAGAGGTTATATGAGCTATTTTATGAGAAACAAGGTATCGAGGTAGGTGACGAGGTAGAATGTCGTTGAGGCATACATTTTTCTGAGGTAGAAAGGTTATAATGTACATGTGATTAGGTAGGTTTTCAGGTAGATTAATGATGACGTAGGTGATGAGGTAAAGAAAGGTTGTAATGTACAGGTGAGGCGGTAGAGATGTGTAGGCGGAGAGCTTAAGAGGAGCTAAGGTAAAGAGGTGTAGAGGTAGAGATGAGCTAAGGTAAAGAGAATCTATGTAATGATATAATAAGGTTGGTGTTGTCAGGCATCGTTTCGAAAAAAAATCTATATACTTTTAACCGTGTCCACCCACCCCCGGAAATTTTAGTACTACTTTCGGTCACCCGAAACTACTCAAAATTCGACAGAAAAAACAGCAAAATAGATCTTTTACTTATATGTGAAATTTCATCTATTTATCAGAAACTGTATATAACCTTATGAAAAATTGAAACAAACTAGAACGAATTCCACTTTCGGTCACCGGAAATCGCTGAAAAATTGAATCAGAACTACAAATGTGATGTAATACTCATAAATGAAATTTCATCAACCTAGCTGTAACAATACTCAAGTTATCGTGTGCACAGAATCACACAGACAACATTGCAAAGTTAAGTTTTTCTGACAAATCGGGGTCTACAACGTCGAGATTTACGAGAAAATGAAATAGATCGTTTGCTTTGCAGATAAACACAAATGGAACACATTGCAATGTAATAATTCATAACTATATACATGACTTTGTTAACTCAGCTAATGTTTTCCTTTTATTTGAAGCAGTACTAGATCTATTACTTTAAAATTATAAAGGTAGCATTTTTTCATTTTAAGCTTTTCGTATTGATGACTTATTATAGAATAACTTGTAATCTCTAGTTTATTTTTGTGCTGTTGAATGTTTCTACTTTAAGCGTTTTTGGTAACTCAGTTTTAAGTTGCGTCCCTTGTTTATTTTAAATTAAAAAATGGCATCATTACACATCAACAATCAACTCTGGAAACCGCTGTATCCCTTACATTAACAGCAACTTTGATTAATTCTTATATTCTTTTTCCTTATAAAAGTTTATCTATGTATGTTGAAGTTAGATTAAAAGAACTGTAAATTTTACTAAAATGAACTTAAAGTCTTAGTAATACTGGAATCCGATTCTTTGTATAGTTATAAAATAAACAACTTTTTTTTATAATTCTAGATCCTTTATCGCCTGTTGGCACCTTCTTTGGAGCGGTAGAGGTGATAAGTTAGAGAGATGATGAATGAGGTGAATTGGTAGAAGGTAGGCCTACAGATGTAAAGAGGTGTATCTGTGATGAGGTTCAGAGATGATGAGATATAGAGGCGATGAGGTAAACCGCACTTTGTGAAACGATCCAAGGCGATATATGTCTAATTTTAATGAGACAATCTGTATTTCTGAGTAGTTTAATTGGTTATGTAAGTTATATACATATATTAAATTGTTGCACTTTATCACAAATGTAAATGTTGGCAAAAGTAAAAACGAAGCCGGTGTCCTACTTACTTCAGTGACGTCACAATTGTCATGCATTACTTTTTTTTATAAAATTGTTTCTAAGTATTCACAGTTTTTATTCTATTTATTTATTTTTTAATACTTTTTGAATTTTTTTTTGCCTCAGACACATAATTTCGCTTTAACAATCGGCTTGTGAGGACTAATACAGATTTACAATACTAATACTTCTTTCTGACATGTACTTTCATTTATTTAAGATTTCTTACTCAAAAAAAAAAAAAAAAATTCAATACAATTTTTTTTTTAACCTGAAAATGTAACTGTGTAAAAATAATTGTAGTTCAATGTTCTGGACAATGTTGTTTTTTTTTGGTCGGGTGGGTTGAAGTTTATAACTAGAGCTGAAAAACATGTGGGTTAAAAGAATAATAATACTATCTACTTATATAAGGACAACGTGTAATAATGAGAGTAATACTGTAAGCAAGTGAAGCCGAACTGAACTATGAACTTAGATCATGGAGCAGGTCTTCGCTTGAAAATAAAGATGGCTGGTCGATCGGACAAACTCGATTCTAGATTAAATACCTCGGCCTATAAACCAATAAATTTGAGTTGTAATGCTATAGCTTTAAATATATGACTGTTTTTTTTTTAAATTCGAGAATTAGCTGAGTGTTATGTTATGTTGGTCAGAGAAACTAGAATCTAGATTACACAAAAAATAATTGAGTTTTTACTAAACTATTTCAGCCTTAAATTTTTCATACTAGATAAATGGCCCGTTAAGGGAGAAATACAACGGGCGCTAGGTTGATATTATTAACATTTTCTCTAAACCAAAATCGGCATTATAACCTGATTTAACCTTGATTTATACGTGGTTAGTGCACGTTTATACTAAATATAGCCGTAGTAATACAAAAATTAGGCGGTAATTTTAGTGTCTTTATTATCGAGTATCGATGACGTCATTATTTTTGTGGCATGAGATTTATTTACTCTAGAATCAATGACGTCATTCTTTTTCGTGTAACTTTGAAAGAAACACTTGTCGCATTTGTAGTTCATACAGACGTTCTTCGGCTGGGGGAGGGGGGGGTGACACCCAAAGATATGCCTAAAAGAAACTCTACATGCAGATCACTTTTAAGATTAGCCAAATTAATTAGGTTGTAAAGTTAGCGTCTGTATTATCAAGTTTCAATGACGTCAGATTATGTATTTTTCCGGCACTGGATTTTTAATTCCATGTTTACTCTAGATTCAATGAAGTCATTTTATTGTGCATACGTTTCCGGCTTTTGAACTGTACATATTTCGTTTCGTTTTGAAAACTTCCTATATGTTCCATGTGACATCAGTCTTTCACTGTGCACCTTTTTAATTTCCTTAAGTTTTCTCTAGAACGTTCAGGACAGAGTGACACACAGTGTGAAAAAATAGCGAAACTATTATTATAGATCATTATTGAATTAATTTTTTTCTTAACATTGGAATGGGTTAAATTAGAATATAATCTAACTAATCTATATATATAATTATCTTCTGGGAGACGCTAAAAAACAAGCTGTAACCGCGCTCCCTTTCACCCCCACCCCTACATGGTCTGGTGAACTGTAGTTCACGCTAAATGAACCGGGTTTAGTGACGGCTATTAGGGGCAGATAATGTAGTTTGAAACGATTTTAAACTTAGGGGAGGTAACTAAGAGGAGTTTGCTTTCACGGGGGGGGGGGGGGGGGTAGAGGGTTATCGTCCTTAACGACCTACTGATAGTGTTTTAAAGCAGATATTTTCAGTGGCAGCATTGGTACTGTCGAATTCACAAATTATGAATGACTTAAAAGTAGAAAATAAAACAACTAAATAGCGGCGTATAATACGCCGCGGGTCGGCTCGTACAAAATATTTTACCAAATGAAACTAGAGGTCCTAGCTGTTAACGGTAAAAGATAAATATTTGGTACCGTATAATAGATATAATAGTAAAATCAGTGAAATGCTGGTATTCAACCGGTAAGAGGGTCTGTGCCGCTTCTTTACCGGGAATATAGATTCTAGTATTGTATAACTAGAGGTAATATTATTAAGGTCTGATGACTAAGGGTCAATTCAATGCCCAGAGTTCACAGCCTTATTAAAATGATAATTGGTTCTTACCAGGTCCGATGACCTCTTGTCTCTGGCAAGGGTTTACGGCCGGTTAATAAAATAAAATAGCAGGTCCGATGACTACGGGTCAACTCAATGCCCGCAGTTTACGGCCTGTAGTAAAATAGAATGAGGCTGTGTATGATATATATCTACTGCTCCGTGGCTGATACACGTGCAGGATAAAAGTAGTACAGCAGGTAACAAATATCTACTCAACTGCCACGTGGAATTACATCACAGGCAGGAATAGTTTAGGTCAGATAAGTATTTAAATGCCCTGTGGGCTAAGGCACGGGCAGTGTAAAGTTAAGTAATTCAGGTAAGTCATCGACTAGCACAATGTAAAGTAACAATGTATAGTGTTTATGAAAAAAATACATGACAGCAAGATAATATCTATATATGGTATTTATTAAAACTCCTTGATACACTGTTAATCAATTATGCATATAAAAAGTAAAGTTAAGTAAAAGTAAGAAATAACTAAGTAAAACCAAACCCAGAAAAACACGTGGAGGTCGGGCCGACGGCCCCAACGCCGCGTGCGACACCACCAGCTGAGCTCAGTGCTGGGAGAGTGCGAGAATCCCTTTGTTGCATCCCCTTATATGCCTTTACATT